CGACGTAAGGTGAGCAAGCTGTGCTCTGAGCAAACGGGTTCAGTGAACTTCACCAATTTTCAGAACCATTTAAAGTCGCGCACAATGGCACTGAGAATACATACAAACAAACAAAACAAAACACAAAAAAAAAAAGGTTGTTGATGTTGTCCATAAAATAGAATTATATGTAGAACTGATTTGATGAAAATCGAGACATGTAAGTGTGTCAGAGCGCTAAAACAGTCAAGACTCCAATTGCGCTGAAAGTAGCCAATCCACTTTTTATTTTTGTTCCATTCGCGCTTAAACCAGTTTTTCTTTCGACGCTGAGAAAGCGGTCTGAAAAGAAATTCTCTGACGTGCCCGCTCAATTTGTTTGTGCAAACTGAGCCCCAACTTATATATGTATATACGGAGACTGCAGCGAGCCGCGTCATTTAATACAACACACAGCAACTCAGACTTAAGATCAGCTGTCTCCGAGCAGCTGCACCTCGACTAGAACTGTGCTACGTGCTGAATATAAGCAGCACAGCCGTTGCCCACCGTCAGTTGCTGCGCAGACGCGTTCAGGTGCACTTCACATCCACGTTCACGTTCACGTTCACGAATTCGAATTGTAGTCGATACAATTGCTTAGCCGATATTGGTATTAGTATTGCAAACATATCCAAACAAAATAAGCGTACTGAGTTGTTGATTGGCAAAATGGCAGCAGCACGCAGTGTCTATATCACAAACGAGGTGAGTTCCTGCTTTGCCAAAAAAAGAAAATCAAAACAAAATAAAACCAGTACTCGAATATAAGTGGCACATATAGGTGGCCAATGTTGCAAGAACCACTTGAGGTATCCACTTGAAAGCAATGGGCAATTACTATTTGGCTCATTAAGAGCAGACTGAGCAAACTGAAATGAAAAGCAGACGCGTTCCTCGAAACTTGTCTAGAATTGAATACTACAATCTGCGTTTTGTGCAAGATGTCGTAACTGATAACTGGTAGCTGGTAACTGGATAGAATGCTCTAAACTGTGAGACGTAAAAGTCTCACGGAATATGAATAATTAATAAACATAAATAGCGCGTAAATAAATTCAAACAACAGCTGAAGCTGCAGAGCGGTCAAAATTAATTCTTAAAGTTCTCAAACTCGTTTCAACACTTTTGCTTTTTTGGTTTTTTTTTTTATTTTGGGGCCAGGGAAAACTTTTACTCGACAGCAGCCCGCAAGCAGCAAAAAGCTAGCTTTATCTTTATAATTAGAATAAATTAGTATTAATTTTGCAGCAGTGTAATATAAACAGCTGCAGGGCAACCAAACAGCCAAAACAGTCCCAATGAAAACAAATCAATAGAAAAAAAAAAACAACAACCGAAACAGAAATAGAAAGTAACCAAAAATGAAAACGGATATTTTGCCCATCCCCAGGACAGATGGAAAGTGGAAAGATGGTGTTCGAAGTGTTTGTCTGGCCTCAAGCCGGAAATATGAAATTCAAATTCTTTTGGCTTCCGCATAATTTAAGCAATTATGTTTGAATCTGTTGAAATGTTATTAAAACATATTAAATTGGAATGTGAAAACAATAAGCTCTAATTGATATCCCCAAGCTAAATATCACTGTGTGGATACAAATCTACAGATTCACTGAGCCATTAACTATGTCAATTGGAAATGAAAAAGCAGCAAGTGTGAAACATTTTAAGGAGTATTCCAAATTTACAATTTTGCAATTCAGAATTTGTAAAACAAGTGATTTGACGCGTAGTTACCTCCTATAAACTTAAACTGCATTTACTTTTATTACCTTACCAGACAAGTAGAGATTTAGTGAGTGCGCTTCTATTCTCACCGACAAAATCTAAAAATAATGTGTTTTCAGTCCCTTGGAATTATATTGATATTAAATGAGCTCACCCCTTTGCATCACAAACTCACTGAAAATTATTTATACCTTAAAGTAATTTCCGTTTACAAAAAGTTTAGCGTATGCCAATATTTTTAGCAAGTACTAAGGAAGCGTTCAATGTAAACACAATCCTGGCCGTGGGCAAGTGCGTTGTTACCCCTTTCCTTTTTGGTTTTAAAGTGCTCGATTTGCCAGCAAAATTATTAACGTTTATTGACATTCCACAAACAAAGGAGTTAAATAAATTTCGCGTAGGCGACCACGTCAAGAAAGCACTCGATTTTTGCCATTACGCTTTCCTTGAATTAAATTTATTCTGTTTAGATTTGGGACTCATACAACAGTGCTTTAATATGTGTGTGTACTTATATATATATATATATATCCTTCATTCCCTCTCTGTGTGTGTGTGTGTATCTGTTCAAGGACGAGCCTGTTGCATATCCTGGTATAACATAGACCACGCAGATTGCCATCCAGTTAGCATTATGTGTTTTCAGCGCGTTTATGCCTCTGTTTGCACTTTTAATATTTGCCAAAGTTCTGACAAAGAATAACAAAAGATTTTTCGCGCGTTATGCAAACAGTATGTCACTGCCATAGAAAAGTAAACAGTAAACAGTAAACAATAAACAATAAACAAATACCCACATACACAGAAATGCGGATGCGTTGCAAAGAAGCCACTGTTAAAGCTGCTCATTTGCGGTTCAATTCTGCGTATACTTTGCACATAACGTATACGCATGTTGGGCCAATGAGAAAAATAAAACAAGCACTGAAAGAGATCTTGTCGTGAGCACAACAAAGTGACAGAAATGTTATTTTAATTACATTTGTATATGTGTTTATCAGAGTATCAACAATTGAAATGGAAATGTATGTGCATAAGCTGTTTGATAAATATTTGAAGACGACAGCAAATTCCATGGTATCCAGAGACCAGGCCACAATGGAGCTGGCAAACTTTCAATTTTGGCTTCATCTCTCACTTGGTCGGTATTTATATGCAAATGAATTTTAAATACAAATGCACTTCAGGCACTTTGCCAGATAAAAATTTGTTGTGGTCCCCAAACAAAAGATTTGCATACAAATCTAGAAATATACTAATACACTATACATATATATATATTTACAATCGACTATGCTTTCTTTTGAAATGATTTTAGAAACACTTAACGAAACTATTTGAAAATATTGAGTACTTTAAAAATGAAATGTCTGCTTTGAACTACGACCAAGTTAATATTTGTTAACGAATGAAAGGGTTTCATTGTTTATTGATACCGTCGTCAAATGCTATATAAAATAAGTAAAATGACAAAAGTTATTAAGACAGCCATAAATATATTTCTATTATCTTGCAATGCGCTTAAGTGGTATGGCTTCTGTCTTTAGCAGCCATTTTGTTGAATTCTTTAAGCTCTTTGAATTTCACGGCCCAACCAACAGCGCAACAACAACAAAAGGCACAATTTTGCTACCCACTCAAAATGTGCAGAATAATAATAAGAAACTGTCAAAAAAAAAGATACTTCCACACCCAGGATGGGCAAGTGTCACGACCAGTCTGGCAGTGAATTCAAATTGGCTTACAGCCCGCATATTTATGTCAGTTTTGTCTGTTGAACTCCTTTACAGTTTTGTTTTGCCTTTTTTCCCCGTTATCGCCTCAATGAATCACTGTTTTTCTTAATTTATGCATTTCCTAAACGAATGTTAATAATTTCAGCATTTTGCCATTCAACGTGTTTCTCTGCTTCTACCTCATTTTTTTGCGCATTGTTTTGTTTTGTTTTGTTTGTTTTGTTTTTGTTTTTGTATTTCGTTTAGCGGCGTTTTGTTATCGTCTAAAAAAAATTAGCTAACAGAATCTTTTTGTGGACCGCCGATTCGAAGTAGCCTTCCCCTTTTGACAAGGGTCAGGGTGAGATTTAACATTCGCTTAATTATTTATTTAATTACACACAGCAGCATGATGCTTTATTGTTATTGTTAATGTTGCACATGACCAACGATCTATGTCAAGGCACTGGCAGAATCTTAAAGTAATTTAATAAAAATATAATTTCAACAATTGTACAATTAGTCTTGGCTGGTCTCTAAGCTCCACAGCGTGGCGAACTATGCAAAGTGAGTGCCGCTTGATGAATGCCACAGCACGCCCCCTGCTCCGCTTTATCCCACCAAACAGAGTTTGAAAATCCGGCAATCTTGATTGCAATCACAAAAGTCAACATAAAAACACAGACAAGGGATCTGTTTTATGCGGGCTGAAATTTATTTATTTATATATTTTAAATGTATGCATATGTATCATCAGAGTGTATGATTTATTAGGTTGACATTTGAACTTGTCATGTATGGCAAATTGAATTCGGCTTAAACTGGTATTGTTCTGCCCTGTTGAATATTGCTCATACGCCACTTGGTGCGCCTTAGACGACCGTCAGCTGCGTCTGTTTGGTTCGTGACAGCTTTCAAAACACACTTAAGCGGCGAAAAGTACGCTGCCAGTGGAAAAACTTGATGCTCGATGCGCTCGGCCCACCACATGAAACTGAGGCAGCCACAGCATAAAACTGGTTACGCCTGGCAAACGTCATGCGGCAAGTTGGCCTTGTGCTAATCCACATTTCAGAATCGCAGCAGCAGCCACCGCCGCCGCCACAACAGCTGAAAATTCTGCTACTACTTTGTTGCTGGTTTTATTTCTTTTTTTTATATTTTTATTTTCCGCTGTTAGCCAAACTCGAATCAACATTTGTGTGCCTATGGATCCGTTGGTACAAAACCATTTAGCTGGTTGAGTGTGCGCCACAGAACGTGGTCAACCAATGCTCGGCTCAGTCAGGGAGCGCATTGCGATCGGTTTCCCAATTTGAAACACTCAGCATCAACTTGACTTTGAGTTGTTGAGCGATTGCAATTACAATTGCACTTCGCAAGTGTCGTTTACATTTAATTGCAAAATCAATGTATTTTGCCGGCAAATAAATGAGATAAACAATCAAATGGCGAGAATGAGTTTTGACAACGATGTACATGGCAACTTTAATTACACTCGACGAAATGACATTCAATCAATGTTGTTGTCTCTTGCAGATAATTATCACAGCCATGGACCGCTTTGTATGGTTTGTGCTGCTGGTGGTCATGACCCACCTGGTCACTGAGTTTACACGGGTCACTGGCTATGCAAGAGGACAACGACACGAGCTGATGCTAATCAACGATGTAAGTAAGAGATACGAACAAAATATATAAATAAACATCAAAAATTCAAATTAGGACAAATAAATAATCAAAAACTGACACCACTTTTCTATTGCATACTTTTCTGAATTCGCAAAAAATAACAAATTAGATTTTTAGATCAAAATTTGAAAAATTAAAAACACATTTATAAATTAAATTTGGATAGATCACTATCAAGCGTTTGTTCGTTTGCTGCAATATTACTTAATTGCGAAAATTTGAATTTTTAATCATTTAATGTGCGCTGATGAACTTACAATAATTTAATAATATAGTCAAATTCCGGTTTTTTTTTCTCTGCTTTACAAAACTGAATAAAAAACACATATAAATATTTAATTTGCTTTTATCGTTTATAATGGCATTAACATTTCATTATGGCCAGTTTAAATATGTTTATGTTTATTGGATATCGTTATAGACGCTGCTGCAGCCAATGCCGGTGCAGAATATGCTGCTCTACCCCAGTAACGACTATGTGCACTATGACCGCCCCTCGTCCGCCTTGAGCAGCAGCAACAGTGTGCAACAGAATGCGGCTCTGGTGCTGAGCAATCTGGGCGCCGCAATGTCAAATGTTGCTGGCAACAATGCGCCTGCTGCTGCTGCTGCCACTGAGCCAAGCTATTCGTTCTTCAGCCTGAGGCCATTAATTGACAGCATTTTCGAGGTAAGCGTGCACACTTATAATCACTTTGGAAGCCCCGCAGCGTCTTTGAGCCGCAACCCGTTGCGAATCAATTCAATTTTGACTTGGTTGCCGTTTGGCCCTCTACTTACAGATACCCATATCGACTTTGCGTGCAGTGAACAATCTTGTGGGTCGCCTCACCGGCAGCTATCGTCAGGCACCGGAAGGGGTGCAAAAAGCGGCAGGCATTGTGGTGGAGGCGCCACTCCGACTGCCAGCGGGCAATTCAGCTGCCGTGCCCGGCAACTTTAAGCTGTCAGCTCAGCGACAGCAGATGCGCGAGGAGCTGGCGTAGTTGACGCACAAGCGTGTCAGTTGATATTTACATTTTATGTTTACATCATTTTGTAATTAGTTTTGTAATTGACCTTTGACCTTGAGGCCGGGCAACAACAAGGCGCACACGTTTCTCAGTGTTGTGCATAGTCGGCCTTTTTTTTATATAAATATATGTAAAAATCTTAGGTGGGTTTCTGTGTGTGTGATTATTGTTGTATGTGTGCGCGTTTGTGTTTCGATGCATTTTCCATCATTATTATTAGTTGTTTTATTTTATAATTGTCAATTTGTGATATATGTAAATTTGTTGTAAGACTAGTTTATTTGTATTTATATAACAGAAAAACGAAAAAAAAAAAATATATGTAGTCAATGTCAAAGTTTGTTATTTTTATTTGGCGTGAAGGAAAAACAAAACACATTTATATGTTTTATAATCTCTTCGAACATTTTAATTGAATTTATTCGGACATTTGCTGCAAAATATCCATCAGCAATAAAATCTATCATAAACTTGTTTTCTCTTCCACAATAGTTTTTCGTTTTTATACGTTAATTGATTTAAAACTCAATAAATCAAATACAGCTATATAAATTTAATGGCGAATGGCAAAATAAAATCGAATAGATGCTTTCACTCGCAAAAATATCAAACAATAAAATCAATGTTGAAAAGTTACGTTTTTATTAAAATCTAACCGCTTGCCCTTTAAAGCATCAGTTGACGGTTCAATTGAACTTTATTATTACCAGCTTTTAAGCGATTTATGTGTATATCCTAAAAGCAGGCAATGCTTTTACGCTGATTAATTATGTGGTCTAAAAAGCCAGCCAAACGATGTTGCATACTTTTGAGCATCGTTTAAAAATGTTGATAGCTCTTACACTCGAGAAGACAAAACAACAAAAAACAGCCCGGAAAAACGTCAGCAGCAGCCATATCAGCGGTGCATCAGTCAACAAGAAATCAATGTTCGCCAGAAACAAATTAAAAGTGACGCCAGCATGATTAAAGCATGCCTGATATGAAAGGTTAACGAAACAAGATCACAGGAAATAAATCGCAATGTATATATTCTATTGAAAACATTCAATATATTTATAAAATGATTAATACTAAATCGAGACTTATATTTAAATAGTATTTTACAGATTAATCGCTAAAATGCTGACTTGCAATTTAATACAAGAAGCTAAATTTAGACTTGCTTTGAATTTTAAGCTACGTATACTTGATGTATTATTGTGAATGCTGACTGAACAATCAATTAGCAAAACACATTAAAATATTTTGCAATGTCAAAGCCTAATGATTCAATTAGATCAAATGGGAACTTCACACGGGCGGAATTATTATTAGAAAACCAAGCTGAAAACCGAATCTTTGTGAATTCAATTGAAAGGACACACGCGTTCCTAGTCGAGCCTTCGAAAAAAATAAATAAAACGGAATAGGTTGCCGGCAAATCTAGCGCATTTAATTATATTTTCGGCCCTTTTTTGGTCATTTGATTTCGCTCACATTTCGTATTTAAATTCAACAAGCACGTGCTGGGTGGTCAATCAAATCTAACACAAGCCAAATCCATTTAGACAGCAGGCATTTGAATATTTAATGAGCACTTATTAGGCACGAAAACGAAACGATGAAGAGAAAAAAACAGAAGAACGTTAATCACTAAGCGTTTCACCAGCGGGACAAAAATTGGCCAGAGTTGAAAGCAGCCAGCCTAAAGAATGAAATTGTCAACAGCAAGCGACATTGCCCAATAGCATTTAACATTTGATTTCTGCGTCGAGTTTGAATTGTGCGGAACGATTTAAATAACCAGAAGCCGTTGAGCCGCTGAGGATGTAACCCATTCAATAGTGACACATATACGCACATTTGAATGCCACATTTGCCAGTGAAGCAACTTTAGTGGCAGCAACGCAATGAAGCGTATTAAACGACAATAGCGACTTTATGGTTATCTGCAACTAGCCAGTTGGCCATGCAGCATTGCCAAACTTTCAAGCCGAATCGGTTGGCTTGAATCGAGTATAAAAGCTTTTTGCGTCAGGGCCTCAATGGGGCTTAAGCAACGCAGTGCAATTGAAACTGCAGTAATTGAACCGGTTTTTTTTTCCTGTACTCTACATTGGGGCGTATGTGCAATGGCAACCGCAAAAGCCTTCTAAATATATATATATATATAGATATATGGGTGTAAGTTGTGGTAATTAAAATATGAGAGTTACATAAAACAATATTTATGATGGTTGTAAAGAAATTATTTAATTAGCTGATGTTTTCGCGTTGAGCATATATTCTATATGGTAATTAACTCATGGTTTCATCATATATGCGCTTATCTTGCCCATTGATCGGCTTTCCTATATATGCCCATTATAAATTAATGGAAGATTTTGAACACATCAATTCCTATATAAACAGACGTTTACATTTTAATTGCGACTCAAATCCAGTTCGCAGCTTACAACAGTAGCAACGCACCACAGAAGGAAATCGCTAATCGCCGAGTTTCAAGTTTAAGCCCAGACTCAGACACAGACTCACAGCTAGACTTCGAGTCAGAGACAGAGCCAAGCTCAGGCTCAGTGCTAATCGAAATCGCGACGAGAGTGGACGAGTTTTTTGTGTCTAGTGCTGAGATTTATTAATTTACCAAGCTAACGCTAAAAAGTGAACAGGTACAAAATGTGTTTTGCAATAAAACAAGAACGTATATCTACATAATAACTAGATACTATGTACTTGCATACAGCCCCAGGGCGAGTCGGCAGTTTAGTTTTTGAATGGCTACGCCACTGTGCTGGGTGGAGTATGCCACATTCTCGACCGTCCAGTCAGTCAACGCGTTTCGCATACAGAAACAGACGACTCTTTTGTTTTTTGTGCAAAGCTTCTCTTTGGACGGCACATACTGAAATGTTGCAGCGCAACGAGTTCTGAGTTGTGAGGCTTTGGGCTGTTTGCCAGCTGCTAGCCAAGCAAGAAATTTAATTTTGTTTCTCCTGTTTTTTAGCCGGAAAATGTTTGCCATATTTGGTGCACTTTGCCTACTGATGCTGCAAGCCACACTGGCCCCAGCTCAGGTGAGTCTTTAACCAAGTACCAACTACCAAGTACCGAATAAGTATAAGTTTGAACTCGAATTTCTTGTTTGTACGTCGAAAGAACTCCGTTACATAGTTGCTTACTTATATTCACTTACTTACTTGCCATGCAGTCATGTGTGCTGTTTGCAAACTTTGTAATTAAGCAAACAGTGCTACGGCCACTGCCTTATTGCTATATATATATATATATATATATATATATATATATGGCTATGGCCAAAAAACCTTATTAGCTCCATCAGACCCCCTCTGGCGCTCTTTTGTGGTTAATTCTTTTAGTAATTACGCAGTTCGTTTGTGAAACGCAAATATTTCAATTATTGTGCATGTGGCACATACGGTGCCATCAAACAATCAAAACGCCATTGGCAGCTACCTACAGTGTTGTATTTTTTATCTACAACGTTGAAAAGATTGACTAACAGCAAAACGGGCAAACAAACAAACAAAAATCAACATACATTTTTAAATTTTAATTTATGGTATATGCGTCAGACCTTTTCATGTATTACTTTGAGCTTTGGGTCTCGAATTGGTTTTAATTAACCCGTTTTAATGTGACAGCGGCCATGCGCAAATTTTGAAAATTGTTAAGCAGAACTGCTGGAGGACTTAGGGCTTAATTACAATTTGTTTACATTTTACACTCAATTTCAATCATAATGTTTTACTCAAGTGTCTTATTTCATCATATTTATTTAGTCATTGAACTAAAACTTGACGTAAACTGATATTTTGGTAGCTACTCCAGATTTTACTACAGTTGTCCAATAACTGCATTTTTGTTAGCATAGCTGTATTAAAAAACCATCAAATTTTTTGAAATTATACTGCAACAATTATTTTCAACTTAAAATTTATAAAAACAGTTGCATTAAACACTGACAAAAAAATCCAATTTATTCATGATTAAATAATCAACGTCATTTAGTGAACAATGTATCTTTTATGTAATTTATAATTATTATTAGTATCAAATTTAATTTAGCTTTCTGCTCACTACAACTAAAACCAGCAGAAACATTTTAAAGTAAGCATAAATTCATAAATTCAAGAATAATTTACCTGTTTAGCTGCAGCAAACAAAATTGTCGAATAATGTTGCTGCATGAACTGGCCTACCATCAGAACGGATTGCCAATGTAGCAAAGCTGACCAAGAGAGGTTAAATTGCTGGTGTTGATTTTATTTGCGGTTTTGTTGCATATTCAAATGGTAACTGCCGCAATACGCGCAAAGCCTTGATTTGCGGAATTTGGCATCAAGTGCAATTGTGGGGTTGTTGAATGATGAAAGCGGAGAGTGGATAGAAGTGGAGTGGAGTGGAGTGAAAAGTGGTCGCTGCTGCGAATTCAAGGCTCATTAAATTGTTTCGCAATGCACCGGCTATTAAAATGTAGCAATAAAGAATTTGAGCTTATCCAATAGCCCGTACATATGTATATAATTGCCTGCCTAGCCACAAGTACTAATTACATTTGAGTATTAAAATGCCATCAGATCGGCAACTCAGTAACACTCGCCTATTATTAAGCAACGAGCTTTGAGCACGACTTGTGTTTTTGGATTGTTAGTTCGCGGTCTTTAGTCTTAGATAAATGTCATTTTAATAACAGTGCTCACCTTGAACCTTTGAGAAGGTGACGTCGTCTCATCTGATGTGACTCACAGAGGAATTTCCAACTATTATGCATACGCCGTATTGTGCAAACGCCCGTGTCTGTAGCAGAGATTTTCACTGCAACAAACAACTATGCAACACTTTTCCGCATAACAGCCATTTTGCCGCCTGTCTGCTTCGGGTGTTAGCTGCACAGTGCCGCACCTGTGTCGAGCTATCAACTCAGGTGGCTAAAGGCCAAATGCACGGTGCATGTTTTCCCGCTGGGGAGGTGTTTTTTTGGTGATGTATCATCCTCTCCCCATTTATTTTCAGCCTTTTGTTTGTCTGGTGCAGTTTTTATACCCTTGCAGAGGGTATTTCAATTCTATGGCATTCTGTTACCCCAGCTAGTATACACAACAACTATGGCAACATTGTGCTTGATAAACAACAATAGCCAGTTGATTAGTTGAATTCACTGATTGCAAATTTTCGTTTCTCCACTGCTACTGCCACGAGCTTGAACAGAACAGAGTTCTTGCTCTTGCCAACCACAGAGCAGAGCGCAAGAGCATTCATTTCAGTTTTCTGTTATTGGCTCATATATTGCTCATAGCAATAGCAATAGCAGAGCAAAATATCTATTGCTTTTCCTGCTGCGTTGTAATAAATTCAAATACTGGTTGAAATGGGATTGTGACTCCGTCGTACTCCGTGCTGGAAGCGTATCGAGTCGTCGGCATGCTCAAATTCTTTGCGAGTTTTGTTGTCGTCGGGACAACAGCATTTGTTGGACTTGCCGCCAGCTGTAACAATTTAGGCACTTTACTTTGGTTGGCAGGCCGCAACTTGAAAATCTTTGCACTTAGGTTTATTTCTATTTGCTTACTGTGGTCCTTCGCTTGCGGGCGGCAGTTGAATTTAGATTTTAATCAACGCATGCATGAAATTTGAATTTGTTGTGCACCCGAAAAAAAAGGAAAAAATAAAAATAAAATCCACTAAATCGTGGGAATTGTACACAATTGAAATTAAAATGAAGGGGCTAGCGTAATGGGTTCTTCCAAATGGGCTGCAGTGAGATTTATAATTTTAGCGCATATTTCACCAACAAAAAAAACGAATGACAGAAAAAACATGCAAATTTCTAAGCACCCCAAAGCGCTTGCTGAAGAACTTTGGAGCTACGAATTATTAGGGATTAGGACCTTGGCGGTTTTAAGCACTGTCATTGTCCCTAAGACGACTGCAATCAGTTAAATCTGCAATGTAAACGTAAATTAGCTCAACACAATGTCGCATTGTTGTTGCATGTTTATGTTGCCCATTGCTCTAACCATTGACTCCCTGATGTTTATCCAAAAGTTATGGCAGCTTCGTAAATAGTGCAAATAAACACATTCACAAACGTCCCTGGTTGATAACTCAATTAAATTTAATGCCCTCATTGTACAACCACAACAAATGGATTTGTGCAAATATTTGACAAGCAAACAAAGCCCAGGCGATTCTATATAAGCTGAAACATAAATATTTTTTCAATTCAGCAAAAGCTGCACAAACTTTATTTCTATTCATTGCTCCTTTGCAGACATACATTCTCTAATCTCAACTGTGATCTTCTCCTTAAACAATTGCGTTTACTTTCAGCCAAAACCATTGGGAGTTATAGATTTAACAGAGATTTGGTGTTGACAAACAAAACAACTTCAAACTCGATTTCAGTTCTAGGAATTAGTTACAAAAAACTTTTAAATAAAATTATTTGTTGTGCATTTATCTTATTTATTTTGTATAGCTTATCAAAATCTTGCTTACGTTAAAACCGTTTTTTTAAATTTATTTTATTTGTTTATCCCAGCGCTACAATATATAATATTGCGCTAGTCACAAAAGAGATTAGGTTACAAGGAAATCTAAAGATATAAATATATTTTTAATGCGCATTCTGCTTCAACTAAGAGTTGGCTAGAAAAATGTTACTTACATTATTTAATCTAATTAGTTAATTACTTAATTAATATTTGAGAATAAGCATTATTGATACAACCATTATGAATTAGAATCCAAATTTTCGCCACCAGCTTTCAGTTCAAAAGCAGACGTCAAATTGGATAATTAATAATTGATGTATTATTCCAGCCTATTCTGCGACTTATAAACATGCACGAGTATGTGTACATACATATATATATATTTATATATATATATATATATATGCAAATTATTTCGTAATCGCGCTTAATCCTCTTACGTGAATATTGGATTTTAAGTGGAGTCTCGACTGTTTGAGGGGCCCAAATTAAAACGAATTTATCAGGCGCTTAAATCGACTTATGCCTGCAAACCAAACCGCTAAGCGGTTGCCTCTGTGTGTGTGTGTGTGTGTGTGTGTGTGTGAATGTCTATGCGTATGTGTGCTTGTGTGTGTGTTCAACACTGCATTTGCATCTCATTACGAGTGGGGCTGCATCTGAAACTTCTGACAAGCTGGCGCACGTGGAAAACTACCAAAGTTCCGGACGGCATTTTTTGTTGTTGCATATTTCATGTTAATAAGCGCAACTCATGCTCTTAATTGTGACATTATTTAAATTTAGTTAGTTGTTGTCTGACGTCATCGTCATCATTGTCGTCGTCGCAGTTATTTTGAAGGAGGAACTTTGTAACGTTGAATTCACAGTTTAATTTGAACTTAATTAAATTACGAGACATTTCGCTGGAAAGCAACAAAAAAACAAAATACGAACTAAAACTTATTAAACAATGCGATAAAGTAGCAACAAGGGGAGAGAGATAGAGAGACAGACATAAAGAGAGAGAGAACAAAGGGAAAAACTTACACAATCTCACAGGTCAATTCCAAAAATGACCAACTGAAAGTGCAACTGGTCGACTGCCCTGTGCCTCAGGACACGAACTGTGGCATGCTGTTGGCCAACGCCACCGTTTATCAGCTCCGCTGCACCACCATCGCCTCCGTTCACCTCCTGCGGTGTCAGATCGTAGGCATGCACCGCTGTTATCATATATCGTGTATCACTTGCACCAGCATTCTGGTTGAGATAAAAACAATGTAACATTTTAAAGATATCAGCGCAAGTCGCAATTTTCAAACTCGTCACGAGCACGCAAGACTTTAAGTACATATATATATATATTCTTGATTTGGACTTAAAATTCAATTTAAATGCCGAGCATATCTTGAGGGTTATAAGAGCAGAAGCTTACAACTTTGATGCGTCTGCGCTCGTACACAGTTCAATAACATTTAACCTTTTGGGTGACTCAGTCAAAAAGACAAAGCAATTTTCATGCTAAGAATTCTTTAAGCGGTTTGCAGTTGTTAATCTGATGTTGTTGCCAAAGGTGGGTAGTGAATGAGTTTGGCTGTGTAACTTGACAATGATTGTGCTACTTTTCTTTGTCTACGGTTTTATTCGACACAATCTGCTTTATTTATATATATTATATATTTATCTTTAAATTACAAAAAAAATATAAATAAATATTAATTATATTATTATGAACTTGGCTGCGTAATTTGATAACGATTGCGTTACTTTTCTTCTTATACAGCAATGTTTATAATATTTTAAGCGTTTAACATATTTTTCAATTGTTATAAGAACATTAGTTTGAATTATCAAGAAAAATATTTAGGCCTTTTAAGATTTATCAAAGAAAGTATTTTTTTTCTATTAATAAGATATTTTCCTAAACTACTTAAAAAAAAGAAAAACAGGAAGAAATTCACAGTTTTCTGGGCGATTTTGGTTTAGACCGATTAGGAAAATTTGAACAGGACTTTCACTTACCTGTAAGTCATATGCAACATCCGTGGTTCTGTTGGCACGCGTCAGGTAAACGTCTTGTGTGTAAAGGGTGCTGGCGTATTTGTTGACCTGGCCCCAGGTGGCCGTGGCACCATTTACGAGGCGCCAGTCCAACAATAGCAGCAGCGACAGCAGAAGTAGCAGCAACAGCTGTGTTGTGTTTGTCAACATGACGACATGTGGCACTTGCAAAGTCACTAGCACTCACCAACCTTGCACAGCTAGTCTTTTGCTTTGACTTTCAGTTTGAGGTGAGGTGTGAAACTCAAATGAGGCGCGTTCAAACCAAGCAAGTTTAAATATTGTCGCTTTGCCTACCTTCAAATCGCTTATCAGTATCAGTTCTTATTGTTTACCGCTCTCTGGCAGAGTGCAGTTTGTTTTGCTATTGTTCTCTATTTGCACATCTCTCACTCTCTGATAGCATCAACTATTCTTATCGGAACAATCGACTGCCGTTTATCATTTTATTAATTACTTTAATATAGATGTATATATGTCACATTTATCTACATTTAAACCCATTGACCTGAATACAACTAAAATAAAAGACAACAGCAGTAGCAAAATGTAAAAGTCTAATTTTGATGAGATATGTAGACTTACACATTCTAAACTGATGGAAGGTAGCAGAAAATCTTAAAGAACTCCAATTAACATAGTCAACATTTTTACCATAAGTCATATCTAAATCAGTCTTTACACTAATATATGTTTATGTACGGAAGCCATATTAATTAGGAGAAGTTATTGTACATAAGAAGAATGCAAACAGAGGAGAATGCTTTAGCCGAGTGTTCTCAGCTGTAAGTAGCTCATAAATAAAATTTCAAAATGGTAAGTTATGAAATTGTAAGTGGAAATAGTACAATTTCAATGTTCAATGCCCTACATACAGCCAGTTACCCGCTCTTAGGCTTGTTTAGTGTTGCAATTGACTCAATATAATTCCACTTTTCCAATAACCACCGGCTGAAAACACAAACTGAAAACAAATACAAAGCTTCAATTTTCCATTCATTATTTTTCAATTCATTCACAACTTCCAAAATAAATACTAAACCGGCGACTGTCTCTGTTATTCTTTATTTTTATTTTTTTTATTCAGAACTTCTAAAAGTATTTCTACCTCGTTCCCTGAAGTTAAAAAAAAAAACAGTAAATCATAAATAGAATATTGCTAAAATATGCTTTGAAGTGATTTTGATTTATGGGCAAAAACTATTTTTGACTTGATTTAGGGTCAATGTCTTTGAAATATAGTAAAGCAGGTGTTCAATTGAATATCATTTGTATGGCGGTTTCATTAGAAAGTTACACAACCTAATTTAAATTGATTGACGCTTCTGGGCAACTACACCTCGGCATGCCACAGGAAATGTGAACTGGGGCCACACAGGCCACTGTATTCCCAAATTATTATTATGTGTAGGAAAACTTGTTGCCTACCAGAAAGGTATTCTTAAGGTTTTCACTCAAACTTTTTTTAGGAGGGTACGGCACAAAACTTTGACTATTTGTGAAAAATGGCCCCGGCATCTTGTGCCAAAGTTTTGTGTGCCTAAACAAAGAGAGCAACTTTCAATAACATTAAGTATACGCGCTGTGTAACTAACTTTTGCCCCAAACTCACAGCACCTTTTCCATCTCTTACTAATTTCTCCCCACCTACTCAATCTTGTCTTCTTCAGCTTATTACACTGCGCGATGGCAAATTGGGCGTCAATTTCGCCGGCTATCATGCGGACGCCGGACTGGGTGGACTGCTGACAGGCGACGCAGCTCACGGCGGACTTAGCGCCTCGGCGGGCACTCCTTGGGGAGCGCGTTCTGCGGCTGGTCTCAGGGGCGGACTTAACGGTATTCTCTCGCATTAATTAATATTTCACTTTTTAATTAATATGCATAAAACTTGCATCTGTCTTCCCACAGGTTCCCCCGCTGGCGTTGCATATGCAGCGGCTCAGGCCAACGATGACGTTGGCGCCAGTGCCGTTCTTGGCGGCAGGGTTGGCGAGCATGGCTACATTGGTTCCGAGGCGCATGTTCCCGGCAAGGTGGAACACTCCTCTGTCCATCTACAGCCACAACACGAATCCGCTAGCTCGGCACCTTTGGACAATGAGCCTCTGCTGCCAACGGCTCGGCCCTCTTATGTGCAGAAGGTGAAGCCTCCGCACAAAAAATATTCGCTGATTGCACAAAATGTAAGTAAAAGTTTGAAAATTCCACTGCGATGAATAAGACAGTGTTATAGGATGGTAAATATTTTTCAAATGCTTAGGATCTTGTTTCAAGATCATTGAGAAGAGGTGAGAGATTTGCAGTCGGCAAATCTACAGATCAGTTAATGTATATAAAAAACTTCAGATGGGATTCCCCATTGAAATATGTTCGTAATGAAAAGAGGTAAATCAACGTCTATAGTGTTATATCTATATAGAGAGGTATCTATATAGTCTTTGGTTAGACTATTTATATATGTAATTTCTATAAATTATCGTGTTACTAATTAAATTAGGCTGCTTGACCTGATTGGTTTTTTTTGTAGCGGAATTTTGTCTAGATACACAATGAATGTTTAACATCTGCCAAAAAGAATCTATAGATAATTATAATGATATAATTTCTTAATTGTATGCTTATATTGCATAGCTTAGTCTCTGAGATCCGCTTGTTCATACAGACAGACATGCCTATATCGACTCGCCTGGTGTTGCATTCTTTGCCACAACTCAATTTAACCCATTTTGAAAGAGTTCAGGAAATAAAAAAAATATCTGCGACAAAAAGCCCTACTTAATTTAAGCTTCAACTGACAACACAAACCAAACTGAGTGTGTGCATTCATATAAATGTGTGTGTGTGTGCGTATTTTGAATTTATGCTAATCTCTGCATGTTAGTCAGACCACACTGCGGCGAGCCAAATCAATGAAAATCATGTTAAAACAGCCGCAGAGGTTGGACTGAGTACACAAGAGGTGACGCCTCTAATTATTGTCAAGCGACAACGCCTACGTGTGAAACGCCCACGACAACGTCAGCGCACTGTTTACATAACTCAGCAGCAGCAGCAGCAGTATTCCGATCACGAGCAGGAGGAGCAAGGAAAGACTCTCCTTCAGGCGTCGCACTCTGATGAGCCGGCGAAGGTAACAGTCAAAATACCAACGACGGCAACACAAACAAAATGGACACAAAACCCACACGGGGACACACACAGGAAACACAGACACACACCGACTAGTGTTGAGGTGCGGTGTGGCAGATAAATTCACATCTATACACAACTCACACAGATACACACAAACACGCACCGTACACCTGCACACCCGCTGTTGAACAAACTTCAGACAGCCTACAGCAATGCTGAAAATGGCCTGCAACTAGCTACATTTTGGATTTTAGTTGCAACTTTCGCTTGTGGGTCAAAACATTTGACCACATCTAATTTTGTAAAATGTGTTTTCCAACTTGTTGCATTGCTTTCCATTATTTTGTGCATGTATTTTTTTGGTTACTTGTTTTTATTGGGTTTGTTCGCTTAGTTGCGGTGGCAGTCAAATTTCATTTGAATTTTATGTTCATTTATTTAGCTTTGTTGGCTTTTATGGTCAGCACAGGATATACTAACTAAATTTTATATTTCTTTCTCGCCAAGGCCACGCCCAAGAGTGATGCAAAGGTGGTGCACCAGCACAAGTATTCCCAGGTTGCCGCACAGCGGCCACAGGTTGTCACCAGCCACGTCATTGCACCACAGGCACAAAACAGCATTGTGGGCAATGCACTTGATGTAAGTTTACCAACATTCGTGTCCCTTGTACCACTTTTAATTGTTCGTTAAATTACATTATCCATTTATAGATACCCATTGGCATTTTGCGCTCTCTGCAGACGAGCCTGGGCGCTTTAGTGGCCAATCATCCAGCACCTGCTCCACAGTTTCGCGCTCAACACTAACAGAATTAAGTCAATAAGTGAATTTATATTTGTATTTGTACAGCAAATAAGTTAACAATGAGAAACTAATATGATCAATAAAGCCAAACAAATGGTGAACACAATGCTGTCTTTGTATTTGCAAACATGGAATCAAAAACTGATCCGATTTTATTGACTTTAGTTTTATTTTCAGGTGTAATCTCAGTATTGCTTTAACCACACGAATCTCTCATTATCTGCAGCAGTTTTAAAATGATTACCCACAAGAATCTTCCATTAAGGAATTTTTTGATTACAAACAAATTTAAATTACTAAAATGAAAACAAACTCAATTATTATAGTAAAATATTACAATTCAGCGACGATATAAATCTTCACTTATATGTATATGCGAACTCGTGTTAAAGAGTCATCTTTAATTTAGGCAGAGTCAGGATGTGTAATTTTATTTTAGTTTAGGATGTGACCTGGTGTTTTGTTGAAAGGGTCGCTTCATAAATTCAAAAACCACACAAACGTCAACAACAATAGCAACCAAAAATGCAACAACTACAACAGTAAAAGTAATGCTTGAAATAGTATCTGTCCCTCCCTCTCTATCCATCTCTCTCTCTCTCTCTCGCTCTCTAACCTCGCTGGGCTAAGTTCAAATGGCCAGCATGCTCCGGCCGGAATGGACTGGGATATGTGCGTATGTGTAGATCTACAAAATAAGGGCAGTCCAAAAACATATTGGCACGAACGGAAAATGCCAAAGCGTTGCTCTTGTTTATTTAGGAGCTGCTGGGCTCACCCTCATAGATTCACACACATACACACACACACACACACACACACACTAACACACACACATACACAGTATAGTGTGTACAGGATGCGGGATAGCAAAATATTTCACACTCTGCAACCACAGGCACTTGAGCGCCACTCGGCAGGGGGCGGGGGATACAAAAGATGCCTGAACAGTCTGTCCACTCACATATTTGAATGCTCAACACACACTCACACAGAGTCACACACAGACACACACACACACACACACACACACAGTTGCACACATGCCACATACATGCATAGTATATGCACGTATTGTGTAAATATGCTCAAACACCTCGGGCTTTTATGCTTTTAACCCTTGCCACACAAAGTCGCCGCTACACAACTGCAAATTTGCCAGTGACGGGTGAATATGTGTGTGTGTGTGTATGTGTGTGTGTGTTTGTATTTGTGTTTGTGTGGGGGTTAGCCTTAGTGTCGGCAGCGGCTCGCTTGAAGCGAAATGAATGCCCATGCAGCGGTTTGTGGCGGTTCTTTGAATTTCTTCATTAATGCTGCGCTTACAACTTATTGCCATTAGGCGCGATTCAACCAATTTGGTGCCTGCTGGGAATTAGACTAACGAAAAGTCCATAACCACCCCCGAAAGTTACTTGGTTAAAGCAACAAAGAAAAATCAATCGCTATGCAAACAAATTTAAATATATTTTGTACAAAAATTCCAATCTAGCTTCAAAGCAAGTCCACATCATTATTAAGTATACTAATAAATATACTATTTATACTATACTCCACTATACTCCACTATTGCTTGTGAAACATCAACGACAAGGCACAAAACCCAGACGAGATCCGTAGACAAGGATGTCACTACGACAACCAAGATAGTCTCAGTAGAAGAGACCACAAAGATGGTTTATCATCTTTATTGATAGCGGTTGATTTACAATACAATATAACATTTATATTATCATTATACACATTAAACTATAAACCGAGATATATACGATATTAGGTGTGTATTCAGTGCATTCGCATCACTTGCAACCACAGCACATTATTGTTCTGGCACTGCCGTCTATGAGTCGGGTTAAAAAAGGTCAGACCACAATTCACAATTTGTTGGTCGGTCGCCGGCGATGTAATACATTTTACGCACGTGCCGCACAAAATTAAATTTACCGTACATCGGTATGTACACTGAACAAAAAAGTAGAGTACTAACTAAAATATTCCCCATTTCGTTTCATTTATATTGTTTTTCGATATATATCTATGATATTTTAAGTAAACTATATCTCTTAATAGATTCAGAGGTTTTTCTTTTCTTCTATCCACTTTTACTTTTCTCTCTCTAATTCCCTAACTACAAACCTTTAACAATCATTTTACATTGTAGTTTTTTACACTGTTTATTTTGTTTAAATTTCAAATTTAATTACGCCTTTTCAATGTTAAATAATGTAATGTGTAACTTAACTTTTAAATCTAAATTGACGACTGGTTTTAGTCCACATTAAATAAATAAATAAACCGAGTGGCGTTTAAATTGTAAATATAATTATAAAACATCTAATATGATTTCATTAAGAAATTAAACATTATTCTGTGTGTATATAAGTACTTGCTGTATATTTATATACAGAAAAGAAATGTCTAATTTTGAAAATAAATAGGCAGTTAATAATTAAAACGATTTTTTTTGACCAAGCGCTGAAATTGGTTTCATATATGCTTTTAAATGTTTACTTGGGCAAAAAGAAATAAAGCAACGCAAGAGGAAACTTGCACCCACACCCACGAGCACACACACCCACGCGCACACACACCCACGCACACACACACACCCACGCACACATGCACACACATACACCCACGCAGCTGATATATTGCGATTGCGTGCGCTGAAAGGTAGACAACTTGAAACCACTCGCGCAACATGGGGCATGATTTCATTGTTCAACAAATGACCAAATGAAGCATAAATGTGAAAGAATTTTGTTTCACATGCATCTACACCGTGTATAAAAAAAGAGGCAAACTATGCCAGATTGAAAATCGAAAGATTGGCATTGATTTACCCATAGTTGGCAAGAGTCGGCTGAATGTGTTCTCTGCACTTGAGGTCAATCAATGCGATTACTGCTTCTAGTTAGCTGCATTGTTGAGGACTTCAAATGTAATCCAATTATGAACTTGTTGGTAACTATGTAATTTTAGGTTGCTGCGAAGATTTTACTGCTAAGATTTTGGTGCTTATTTGAACATAGTAATAACTAAGATATATTCAAGTGCCTGTTGGCGATGTATACATAATGCTCCACTGGCTGGCACAGCACTTTATAAATATTCATTGCCCGAGTTTGTTCGAAATTGAGTGCAAGCAGGTAAATATGAATATTCATATTTTCTATATAAACACATATACACTCATTTCCACGCATTCACACACCATCTGCAAAAACTTTCCATTAGAAGTTTTTGCTTTAATTTAAGCTGCCTTGTGTTTTATGTTCCTCTTTAATCTTCAATTTCCTTATAAATGTTTAATCAAACATATGCAAAATCTAACTATTTATGTATGTTTCTGTATTCGTATTTGATTAATTACACTTAAAGCACATCAAGTAAATGTTATTGCTAAATAAATGATAAGACGACACCATTTAATTGAGCCAATGCGGCACTTTAAGCTTTAAACTGTAACCAATATGCAAATTCAGTTGGCCAAGTGCCACACAACGAGGCAACAAGTAAAACACCACAATGTGTGTATATGGAATTCCGGTCTGACATATTTTATGTAAATCGTCAGCACATGAACACATTAATGTACTGAGCAATTGCTCAGTGACAAGTACCAAGAACATCAAAAGTGACAATTAAAATAAGCTTTTAATGAAGCAACCATAATCTGAACGTGCAACTTAGCTTACAAATAATGAACTCTTTTTTTAAATTTAGCTAAAATAATAGAGGGTTAACACAGGTATTCTTTGTTTTGGGAATACAGAAAAATAGAAATAATTTAGCATGGCTATGACAACAGCCAGTTGGCAATAAAGAAATTATCATATTGTAATTTCCATAGAACTCAATTAAGTTTGACAGGGAGAGGGACTCAGCTGCTTAGCATTGAAAAAGGTAAAAACACAATTAATATGTATGTGTTTTAATGAGAATTATACTCGTTAATAGATGCATATAATTTGTTTTGCTAAGAATTCGTCGTCCCCTTAGAGAAACCCACATTAACGCAGAAAATCCAAAGTTAAAGGTTTAATATATTTAACAGGTATCTCCGGCAACTATTCATCAAAAGCCACAAAGTATTTTGTGTACAAAAATCTAAACAAAATGCTTGGGGAATTAACTTTTTCGCTTGTGGCCAGCAGGAATTTGTGTTTGTGGCCAATGATAGTGATGCGAGAAAATCGGGTGCTTTGCTTTCGTTCTTTTCGCCAACTTTGACTACTCATGATGAGATGTGAAAAGTTTACAAGCAAAAAAAAAATATAAGTGTAGCATAAGAGCGGCAACTTTAAGGGAAATGAAAAACTTTCACGGCGCATTTCACAGGTTGAGCTATGCATCGCGATGCTGTAATAAAATCATAAATCCCCGGCCAAAACCAACGCGCTCTTAAGGCCAACCATAACGAAAAAAAAAAAGAAAAAAAACAAGATTGGTAACTGACTTTTAGCAGGAAGCGGAAATGATGTTGGGCTGTCTTTGGCTTAGCCTTTGTTATCTCAACCTTTGAGTCTTTCCTTTTGCTTTTGCTTTTGCCTTTTGCCATTGCTTTGGTTGAGCGATTGCAGTTTACAATTTCGGCAAGCCGTATTTTATATGCTAAGTTACGCAGAATTCTTTTTGGGTCAATTTTAATTCCGACTCTCATTTATGAGATTTGGTTACCTTTTTTCTCTTGCCGCATTCCGTTTTCTTCCCCGTTTTGACTGGCTTCATTCTTAAACTCTGATACCGAATGTATCCAGAGTATATTGGCTACGTTGGGGTGCTACGTCCACTAGGACGACAAGAAATCGATAAAATTAATAATAGCAATTTGATAAAGACTCATATCTTCCACAATTTTAAAGCAACAGTCACAAAATTCGCCCTCGCCCACTCCCGCCCCCAAAGTTCTCAACTGTTTATATCTTCCGCACTTTTAGCGCTAAGGTCCTCTACCAACATTTTTTTCGGTCACGCCCAATCACGCCCAAAATTCAGAAAATCACAAATCTGCCGCAATTTTAAAGCAAATCTGGGGGATACATTAGTAGGAACCTTCTTCAAATATCGGTATTTTTTAGCTACACCCAACCTATTATGTGACAGCTGTTATCAGATGGTATCAGAGAATTTCGCAGTCGGTTACGCCCGACTGTAACGTTCTCACTTGTTATGGCTGCAGGAGGATAATTAATTTTATTTTACGGCAAACCCAATGCTTTGCAGAAATGCATAAAGTCAATTAACTGAAAGAGCAGCAGCGAAGAAGCTGTTCCGACTTAACTAATCATGATATAAATCAAATCCACAATAAAGTACGATTCATTATAAGGAAGCGCACTTGATTATAATTTCATTAGCTACAAAAATATTAAAGTCTGAGCATTCAACAATTTATATTCCAGTAGAAAGCAAGTAAAATCGCTCAAGGCAAAGTGAAAAAAAAAATGCATTTTTTGTTGGCTTCAAATTGTTTGCTACCATAATTCGTTGAAACTTGAAGAGTTTTTAAAATCAGAAGGATTTTGTTTCTAAATTTATACTGTACTTCATTTAGAAACATGATTTATAGTCGAAATTCATATTGTAATTCTATTACAAAAAATCCACTAGTAGACGATTATAAATTTTCTACTCCGACTAAATTTATTGTATTCTTTGACGTCTAGATTTAGGTAGACAATATTTGGTTGCAGATTCTGTCTTAAAACAAAAATATGCGACGAGGAGATACTCTCTTCCCAGCAACACCCATTATTCACTCTTACCACAGAAAAAATACATCAATTTCTTTGATATACGCATACATGCAAAACAATATATCAATAACATAAAAAGCAGATAACTCTCTGCTACGATTTTTTCAATATAACTCTTCGCTAAAGTCATTTTAAAGCTTATTTTTGAAATTGCGTTCCCTTGACGCCGACCAGGAGTTTTTATTTACGTCTCTGGCCACAATCAAAATACAGTTGAAAAAGTCCGTAGCTGTTACGTTGCTGATTTTTGCGTTTGCGTTGGTCATTTTGCGCTTACGTTGCCAGAAACGGGCTTTCATCGCTGCGAACATATGCTCATATTTGCGTTCACTTTGCACTCTTTTGCGTTTGCTTATTTTGCGTTTACCTCAAAGTTTGTTTACAATTGATAGCGTGCCGCATAAATGTAATTCAGCGAAGAAATAAACAAATCAAAGTTGGTCAAAGCATATTAAAAACCGTCCTCATCAGTATTGAATGACTAGCACACGCTGCTGAACACGAAGGAATTGGAAGAGCACGCGCAAAGCGCCAAAACACTCGGAAGTCGAAGGTGAACAACGTGGAATTTATTTTGGGTTTAAAAACGCCGCGTCCGTCATTCGAGTGGCGAGCGAGCAGGCGAAAGGACACGCGAAAAGACGGGCGCTCCCAAATTCAAAAGTGGGATACACTTGTGGTGCCCAAACAAACTATAAATTGTATTCCCATATATTCTGTTTGTGTGTTTAAGGAAGTCAATTCCACTTTCGAATTGGACGTTGTTTTATAAAGTTGTCGTTGGAAATTGAACTAAAATTGTTATTTGCATTTGCAGCTTTTCATGGAGGACTTTAGCAGCATAAAGCCGAATAGTTCGGTTGTAAAGCTAGCCGCTTGTCTGGAGAAGATCTACAATAAAATTGTCGAATCTAAGGAAAAGGTGCCCGAACATCAAATCAAGGAAATCGAGTTCCTCAAAGCCCAATGCAAGCACGAACACATGCAGCTCAGCCTGATGAGCTGTCAGACGCTGGTGCGCCTCGTCGACGAGGCTGTCCTAGATGCCAACAGCGTACAAAACACGCTCCTGTCAATGCTGCCCAATGCAGGGTAAGTTCTACATACACGGACTAACACACATCATATACACATATGTCTGACGGGGCTGGGCACTTCCGTTTGTGGGTTTGCCAGACCAAAAAGGAGCGCAGGCGAATGCACTTACCAAATAGCTAAACGCCAGAGCATAAATTACCTGTATATATGTGAGTTGTCTAGCTGGCGATTTCACAATTTCTACGATTTGAGCTGCAAATTGAGGACTCAACTTATATGTAGCGTGTCCAATGCCCATGCGCAGCATATAAAGTCTCGCACTTCCGGCCTAATTAATTGGCCGACTCCTTTGCATGACAGCTGCTAGAAGCGAACATGAAATACGAGTCATGAATCCAACGTATTAAAACGCTTTCACACGCACATTGACAATGACACGTGCCCGGTGTTAACTATGCGTAGGCAATTTGCATAGCTTCCTTCTGGCCGGGAGTCATGCTGCTACTGCTGTTACAGCTGCTCCTGTCCGGTGACATGAAACAATTGTAATGTATTACAACAATGTAGTGGTTCTACAAATACAAGGAAAAAAAATCTATTAGCCATTTCCGTAACGCGAAACACGCCCGAAACACATTCAAGGCAAGAGCGTCTTGGCCTTGCTGCTGTAACTCTAACTGTTTGCATATATTCAAATTACGCGCCAGTTAGTAGCCTGGCTAATATTTGATAAATGTATGCAGGCGAGAAACGTGCGGCTTTGAACTTGAAATGCTTGTGCAATTGAAGGACGCGCCCACACAGCAAAAACAGCAACAACACAATCAACATCAACAACATGTGGCTAACAGGCACGTAATACAGAAATTAACCTTGATAAGAAGAGAGACGATTGCAGGTGCAAGCAAAAAGGATTGCATATTAATTGGACCCTTTCACCAGTGGCAGCAATTAAAGCGGGCAACCATCGTCAACGCCGTATAAATAGTAATTATCGCGTCAAACGCAAAACGATTTGCCTGCAAGCAAAGACTTCTACCCCCTAACTATGTGTGTGCGTGTGTGTGTCGAGTGCGGAAGTGGCAGCTAAAAGCCACTCAAACCCGTTAAAACTAGTAACTGACCACCCTTAACCCCAGCCACTGCACAGAGTCTGTAATTGAAAGTGTTGTCCACTTATCAACTTTAGTTTCCATGCTCGCCTTTAATGGTCAGTTAAAGTCGGCACGCACTTAAATGGCTTAAAGTTTAAACAGATTAATATGATTATAGAGATTATATAGTTTTATATGTGGTTTCTACAAAATTCTAATGATTGCAGATATATATATTTGAAAGTGATATTTAAAATCGGTTAGGGAAAAAGCCTACAAGTTTCACAAAGATTTGCAACTCTTTTCCAACTGATTTGAATTCTTAACATCTTCTTAGTAATTCCGATTTGAGTTTTATTCTTTGTATTTAATATTTATCAAATGTTTTTGTATTTTTTGTTCATCTTGTAGACCGATGCATTTTGCAATTATTACGGAGAGCATTCTGGGGCTGCAGCTGTTGAGTTTGAAGCGCAAGACATCGTTGCTTAAGGACGGGGAGTCGTATCAGTGTCCGTATGGCTTGAAGACGCAGCTTCATCCATTGATATCGCTGCTCCAGCATAATAGCGCCAACATGCATGACGTGAGCAACAAGATAATTGGCATCTGCCAACACCACGACAAGAAGTCAGAGCCCAATTAGAGAGAAGTAGCCAAAAAGACAGAAGAAAACCAATACTAATATGTATTTATGGTAAATTGCAGCATTCGGGACTACAGCATCGAGTATCTGCGTCCCGTATTTCTCTATGTGCTGTGCAATCCGCAGACGCTGCACGATGTGAAGCCCATCTGGACATGTTTGCTTGGCCTGAGCAACAGCCAGCCAGAGGCGCGTGCCCTGATGCAAGAGCTGCTGTCGTGGAGCAAGTTCAACAATGCCAGCACCTGTCTGTGCACCAGCATTCTGGTCATCGAGGCCATCGATTACTTTCTGCAACAGTCGGATTACGCCCAGTCCATTGATCTATGCATTTACCAGGCGCAGCTCATCAAGCAGTTGGCCCACTTTGGCATCAATCCGCGTCCCAGTCTGCAGTGCCTGTTGCGTGTGTTGCATGCCACGCGAGAGCATACACGCCATCATTATCATGTACTGCTCGTCCTCCTCGCCGAGTGTCTGCACATTTTGTCCCCCTTTTATTTGACAGATCTGCTGCGCATCATTGTGTTTGTGGTGGTGCAGGAGCGCTGTGGCCATGAATACATTCTGAACATGTGTCTGGACGGCATTATTCAGTGGATGTCTCAGACTGCATTCATACCTGCAGAGGGCCTGGCGCTAGCCCATCAAATTGTCGATCGCATCCTGGAGCTGCAAAAGCCGCCAGTTGATGGCAACGTGGAGTTCGCGACTCCCATTTGCACGAAGGAACTGCAGCCGGCGCACATTCGCAACTATCATCCGGACATTGCGATTGCCTTCGATCTGGCCAATCTGGTGGAGTCGTTTGACACATCCGAAAGCCAGGATGTGTTTGCCTTTGTCGATGCCTTGAACGTCAAGGCCAATACGGCCTTTTGCCAGCGTCTGCATCTGTTTCTGCGGGCGCTCTTCCTCTCTCGTGAACCGCCCGTCGACTGCTGGTTCAAGATTTACGAGGTCATATTGCAGATCATCAAGGTGAACGAGACCATTGCCTATGATTTTCTCATGACATACATCTTCAAGCTTGCCCACGAACACAATCCAGAACTGCAGCTGGAACTGATGCGTGGTCTGCCAAGCTTTGCCGTCTCCAAGGTACTTTTATATCTATATCGATTTCGACTTATTCTAATTGGCTGCTCTTTGCCAGGACAATGTGCCCATGATACTGAACACTATTCGCAATCTGTCAACGGATAACGGCACCTTCTGTGTCGATTTGTATCTGCGTCTGTGGCGCGTCGAGGTACGCACCTATCCCTTTCTGCTGAAGCAAATCGCACAGCCGCTGCCGGACAGCGACAAACGCTGGGAGACGGAAATAGCGCGAACGCATGCCATGCGCGAAATCTGCCAGGAGAAGTAAACAATGTTTTTATAGGAGATCTGTGTGGATCAAATATTAATCTATGCTATACATTCAACAGACCCACGCTACATGGCTCTGAGTTGCTGCCACATTTGAGCAACACACTAAACAGCTGCACGGATGAGTCGGGTGACTTGGCTACATCCTTGGCGCTTGACGCAATTTATGCGCTATGCGACAGTCATACGGTAAACATTGCATCCACTTGGCAAGCGTTGGGCAGCAAGTTTCGGAGCGAGCAGCGCCCGCAGACGCTGAAGTCACTTTATCACCTGTTTGGACTGGTGCCGCTGCTGCAAACACCAACGCTGGAATATGAGAAGCTGGCCGATGATGCACTCGAGCAGCTGTGGCAGGCAGTTAGTCGTCCAAATACGGATGCCACCCACGTGCGCAATGCACTCGTCGCCCTAAAGAGTTACGAACCGGGCAACACGCTCATTCTTCGCCACATTCCGCCCCAGTTTCGGTTTGAGCTTGTTGGCGGAGGGCATGCAGTAGGCGTGACGGGGTCGGGTGGTCGAGAGGTGGTCAATTTACAGCAACAGCAAGAGTCCATACCGGGTGAGGTGTGGGTGCAGCTATTGCAAAAGATACGACCCGAGTGCGGCGATGCGGCTGCCGATCTAGTGGCCCATTATATTGGCAATGAGATCAGTGGCTTTCGCAGCGGTGTCTATCGCTTGCCCGAGGGCAAACCAGAGCCGCGCAAGCTGGTGGGTCTCCTTGCCACCAGTCCACTGCGAGCCGTCAGCAATTACCTGGTGAATCAGTCGAGATTCGGCGACTATGTTCCCGAACCGTATGCGGTCACGTATGCGTTGCGCGCACTCTCCAAGAGATTCGCCAAGCCGATACCACCATTGGACTGGAGCTGTTTAACCAGCTTCTTTCATCTATCGTTCGATGCACGCAAATACTGCATCATGTTGGCCAAAAATCAGGCGCTGCACAGCGGCACCGCGCGCCGCCTGCTGGAGAATTTCCTCGCCGACTTCGAGCCGAATTGTTTTGAGGAAGATCTGCTGTTGTTGTTCTCCCTGCTGCCGGAGATCGCCAACAGCGTCAGCCTGCAAATACTCAAGAGCTTTGCCGAGAAGGTGGCCGTCTATTGCTTTAAAGAATCGCAGCTAAACGATTTTGTTGAGGGTAAGAATTGATGACAATTAATTATTTGCTGTTGTTTCAATGGTTAAAGTCTGATTTGGACTTGCAGGCTGCCTGTTTGAGAAGTTTTTGGACAGTGTCAAGTATATTTATACGGACAAGTGTGAGATACCCGAGGTGCTGGACGTGTTCACGCTGATTGTGGAGCGTTACATGGACTCCATGAATCTGGATTCGAGATTATTTGAGCGCTACACCGAAGTCGTTGCCGTCCTGCATCCCAATGCCATTGATGGTCTAACCACGCCCGCCAATTGGTGGGAAACACCAGTTGGCAAACTGAAGAAGGCAACCATAATCCGCTGCTATCTGGTGCTGTATAACGAGAAACTGCCGAATCCATTGAAATGGCTAACGCCCATCATCGATGCGTACGAGCGTCGAGCGGAGGAACGTGCCTTCTTTTATCGGCATTTGGCCACAACGCTGTATGCATTTGGCAGCGATGAGCATGCCTGCAACTGGATTATGGAAATCTTCTTGGAGATTCAAATGCTGCTCGCCGAGGCATCCAACAAGGAGAAACTCAATAGAGCTTTGTATTTGCTGGACATTTTCATATTAGCCGTGGATGTGTTGTCTGGCTGTGCGGTGCTTCTGGGCAGTGTGGATGTTGTTGCCACCGATGGCAAGGAGCGATTTGCTCTGTTCCCGGAGAGCCTCCAATTCCTTTGTGATCACATCTTTTGGAAGGATCAGGAGGCTAAGGTAAGCGTGCTCTTCATCCACTTCTTTAAATACTCTTTTGATATTGCTATCTCTCTGTCTCTCTCTCTCTCTCTCTCTTTTCAGATTTACGAATTCCTTTATAATCTTTATAAGCATGCGTCAATACCTTTAACATATGCTGCCATTTTCAAGCAAGCGATTATTTGTTCACGGAACAAACCGTACTTTGATAACAAGGGTGTTTGGACCAAATACGTAGGTCTGCGTAAATGATTTGACCCCACTACACCGGATCATAAAGTGCACTTATTGTTATAGTTGAAATTAAATTCAGTTGATTTTTATAGCTTCTTGTGCGAACTTTGTTGATTTTATTAAATGAATTTTTATCACAACTCGCATTTAAATTAAACGCCTTTAGAGCTGCCAGCTGCGTGTTTCTTTCAAACAAGGTGGCAACTACATGAACTTATCGGTCAACCGCCACATAATACGAGATGTATGTCGGCAATTAAATTATCGTCACTATCGATAGTATATCAACAATCCTAATTTATAATTATTATAAACTTCAATATGTTCCTGGCAAATGAATTAAATCTTGATTAATTTGTACGTGCATAGTTAATTAAAGTTGCGCGAGCAAATAAACGGGACGTGCAACAACTGCAAAGTGTTTCAAGCATCCAGCTGAAGGCGTAGCTAACAAAAAACAAAAACGTAAACAATGGACGATATCAAGCTGGCAAAGGTATGTAAATATAATAAGTACGTAGGGGTTTCAGCAGTGCCGGAATTGAAAGCAATTGAAAACATGCCGAGAGTTGCCTGCTACTTTGGCTACTTATCAACTTCTCTCCTCTGTGAGTCATCCGCGGAACTGCAATTTTCTTTTATTCAAAATCGATGGTCAGGTGGAAACCCCTTTCTCTCCTCTGTGCAACAGCAACAACAACATCAGCCGCTCATATGTCGCCAGCCATAGGGCAACCCTTGCACCACCCACTCGCTGGCTGGGGCCAAGGACGAGACTGTCTCGCTGGCCAAGTAACGGCGCTTACACCTGTTTCACGACATACATAGCGTACCTGTGTGTGTGTGTGTGTGTGTGTGTGTCACATGCGCATAAGCTGAAGCCATCTAGACTGTATGTAAATAAGCCCAGTTTGTAGTGCCTGCTTTCCATATATATGTGTGTTTGTGTGTGTGTATGTTCTTGACTGACTGTGTATGTGTATGTTCTTGACTGTGACTATGCATGTATGTGTGTGTGGGTTCTTGACTGTGAACTGCGGATAGCTTATCGCATATCTATAAATGCCTTCGCTACTTTTTGGTGACCACAACGCCCTTTTTTATTGGCTATTAAACTACCATCAGCTAATTTTAATAACAGTTATTGATATGCTTGTAAATGTGTATTTTATAATTAAGGAAGGCAACATTAATTTTGATGTAAAGTATATACAGTGGTCCCTCGCTACTTATAGTAATTTGCAAGCATTTTATACTGCCGGAAATTCTATGTTTGTACTTTGATTTACAAAATATACACATATGTGTAAATAAGTAGATAACATTTGATACCATCGATTACACTATTTGGTTACTATGACTAATGTGATTATAGACGATAATCATTGTTGCGTTCCAATCGTCATTACTTGTGACGCTGTTCATAATCAGATGAGGCATTCACGTTGTCTTTTAACAACTGACTAACTTACATATTTCCCCGAGCCTACGCATTTTTATGGCGCTCATCACTATCAGAGAATATTTCCCTCTGGCATAAAATTCCCCAACACAAATGGCTCGTAGCATGCTTTTAAGCGCGCGCCTTAAACAGTCGTCACTGAGTTGCACTTGAAGTCGGTTCGTTCACTACTGTTTTCGTTACACACACAATCATTCGGCAATAACAAAAGTAGCATATATACATATTTACAAATATATATATACACAAATGGATATGAAGGATTCAAAGTGTTTGCGTGTGTTTGTGTTAGGCGAAAAGTGAAAGTAGAATTCACGTGATTTATTTGATTTAAAAGCCATGCCAAAAAAGGGCTTCTCGTATCAGTTTCCTGCTCCTTTCACTCATTTTTAATGTTGATTTAAAATAATCAATAAACGTTTACCAAGAAGAGCATACAGTATCAGAGATATTTATTGGGAGTGCGTGTGAAACAATGGATTTTGCTAGATTCATGAATAAATTCAACGAAATCGAACGTCAACTTTCGCCCACATCGGCACTCCGTCTCAGCTTCGATAACATATCGCCGGAGACGGAAGAGCCGCCGGATGGGAAACGATTGTGGGGTGTGCCAGTGCCGCCCTTTGTCTCCGATAAGGTCGTCTCCTGGATCGAGGAGGAGTTCAACGAGGCGCCCATTTACTACAATGGCAACAGTGTCCTCAAAAAGGTATTTGCTTTGCTTCATTATGCTAATGTGCTGCAAAAAAGTAATCAAAACACAAATCCAGTTAATTTTTCCCCATTTTCACATTTTCCTTTTGTCTCGCTTTGGAAACGTTGCCATTGCCCGCAGCACTTTGCCGGAATATATGCAAATGACGTGCGATGACCGGCAATTGAGTTGAACTTTGAGTTGCTTCATTTATATATAAAAAAAATATATATATATAAATTTATGACGAATTTTACTTAAATTACCCACAGCAGACTGACAATTTTGCCATTGTTAAGCGCATTAAGCCCAGTGCAACCCAAATTAATTGTTTTATTTTGAAATATTGGATTTTTTAATAGGCAATTTGTAAAACGTAAGAATAATTCAGATTTTAATATATCATATATATATATATCAGTATTTTTTTTAAATTCAATCACGTTTCACTTATTTTCTAATTAATGCTGAATTTATTGCAAGTTTCTCTTCGCATCAGATAAGTAATAATATCTAAGCCAATCAAATCAAAGTCGGCGCTGTCAAGAAACAATGCCAATGACGTGGACTGAGTCAGCTAACAGATTCTGCGGGTCCTTTTTGTGTTCAGTTGGAATGACGGCATTACAGTCCAACTGAAAGAACACATTCCCTGGCTGCCACAATCTGCTTGGACTGCTATCCTTTTAGATGTCATCCATCCGGTATTCAAGTCAGCTGCAGCGGTTTATTTGTGCTCTGCGCTTTTCCATCCACTGGGGAAATTCCGTGAATGAAATCTCCACAATTCAATTTGACTTTTTTTCTTATTTATAATTCAAAATGTGGTTAAATTCGAGTTTTGTATGCAACAAGGGAGATTTACATTGTACTGATTTATGTCATATTCAATTTAGATAAATGTTATGCCTTATCCAATATTTAAAGATTTATATGTATTATTATAATATTGTTGCACTTTGAACTCAAATTTGTTTAGTTATTCACTTTAAACTCGGCATTTGATTTGATTAATTTAGTTCAAAGACTTTTTATATGCAGTTTTCGAGCGAACTTTTTGCTTTCAACTTGGCCAGCAGTGAAATTTTCAATTATTTACTCTCCTCTTGCTTGTGTGTATTTGGATTTGTGGCCGAGTGGGTGGCTGGGTGGTTGGGTGATTTGCCACCATATAGCAGAAAGTTTTCACTTACAGCTGACGTCAGCGAATGAGCTCCAAGTCGCGAGCAACTTTATTGCAAACCATAAATATGGAAAAAATATTATTATTACTTTAGCTTAAATAGTTAAATATATTTCGTGTTTTTTTCGTCTATTTTACAGGTGGAAAATGTGCGCATGATTGATCGCTATAACACCAAAAATCCGACAGTTGGCACTTTGTATCTGACTGCCACACATTTGATATTCGTGGAGCCCGACAGCAACAAGGAGACATGGGTAAGTGCTTCGTCCTGGCAATTTCCCTGTCCCTCTTCCTTTCCCACCAACTCCTCTTATTACATCATCAATTATTTCATGACTCAGTCGCCTTGCTTTCTTCAGTTTTTGGTCTGGTTTTGTGTACTTTACTCGCTTGCCAAGTTCAAGCAAAAAGTTTTCAACAATTTCGGTGACTTTTAAGCAACTGTCGTTTTGGGGTTGTCGTCACGCATATAAAATATGACTCTGTGTGCATTTGTGTGTGTCCTCGACTAACCGCAAAAGTATGTTACGAAAATATAGTAGACCGCAGAGGGATGACATTATTTGGCATCATATACATTGTTAATGTTGCAACAAACATGTTGCGTTCCCTTCTGAATTATCGAGTTTTAAATTTATTCAGCTTTCATATTAAGCAGATGGAAATGTTTCCATATATCTCGCAAGCGTATAAATAACCTTAAATTATTATGTATTTATGATGTAGATGAAAATATCGATGTTCATTTTTCATTTTACACGCCGTTAAAGAATTATTTATTACACTCAGAATTGAGATTGATAATCTCGGCACTGGAGAAATTTAAATGTAAAGTTTTTGCCACGATTTCTGATAAGCATTTCACTTAAATAAAACACACACTCGCCTTGAGCTCATTTAAGTGAAATTGCATGTCAAAAATTATGTGATTTAAAAAAGAATACTAAGCAAAATTCGCATAATAGTCAATGCTAAGCAAAATTTGCTATTCATTTTGTATACAAGCCAAGGCAGTCAGTGATAATAATGCGCACATCGAACTTATTTCTACAGTTTTTACTTATGTCTACAGGCTGATTACAAGTGTTTACCTTAATGCCCTTTAATATTTCGAATACAGGTGCTTGGGTTGCTTAAAGTTTACACACTTGAAAGGATATCAAAGATATACTTTTGCCCTGCCCTTTGCGCGTCGTTAAAATTTTTGTGAAACGCTTGACAACATCTCATGCTTGGCAAAATAAATACGGTTTTGGCCAACTTTCTGAGAAAAGCAAAGAAAGGCATGCATAAACCGGCATAAGAAATAATGCATAAGTCGCCTACCAAAAGGGCGAACGTGTTCAAATGTGCACTTGACGCTTCACACGCTTCTGGTTCTGGCTGCGCTCGTTAAACATTTGAGCCACAACTGAAACTTGCTGGGCACGCAAAGCCGCCGCTCATTCGTCATTATACGCAGATACTTATATATATATAAATATATATATATATAGTCACATGTGCCTTTGACTGACAGCTAGCTGCATTGTCCGCACTTCCGCTACTTGGATGTGAGGAAGGGAGAGCTGTGCGTTAAGTAATCTTTTCTTAGTTAGACTAAGTCCCAAGGATATTTTAGCCATGTGTTGAAATTGCAAGTTGGTTTTAAGAGCCAACTGAGCTGGCAGGTTAATGAAAACATGTTTTTTGCATTGTATTTGCTGCCTAACAGTTTCACTCACACTCAAATAAAAAAGACTGAATTCCGAGGATTACGCATACGCCCCATTGCTTAAATACAAATTAAAATACTATGTCGCTGCCTGGTGAGCCTGCTGTGTTTCTCTCTGGTTTTGCCTGTACAATATTTTGAGCACACACAACATGCATTTTCATTTCAATTAAGCCACAGCAAATAGTCAATGAAAAAAAGCAACAGAAAGCAACGCAAACCATGTTTCTCAGTGAGTAGTCAAAATGTGCTTTGGGGACTGTTGACTGACACAATTGACAAATTGCTGCTAAGCGGCTGCAATTCAATTTCTATTCATGCCAAATTTTGCTGTTCCAGCACATGTCGTTCTGCTCTTTGTTGGGATTCCCAGCTTTTATTTTTAAACAAAAGAAAGTTAACTTTGTGATATAAAGTTAAGTAAGTAATAAAAGCTAAAAAGCTGTTTAAATTAGCAATAAAAGATTAACTACTATGTACGTAATAACTAATAAAAATCTCGTTGTGAATATTTATACGAGAACAGGACCAGCACAAAACCAGTTAAGAAGTTATGCTTTTGCCTGTCTAGTTTTTCTATCGATTGACTTTTAAGGCAGAGCTCAAAGCCGCTTAAGCAAAGATATTTTGTACATCAGAGCTGTTTCTAAATTTGTATAAAACCCGAATCAATATTAATTCGCATTTGTCTGATATTCTAATTTTCACACTATATCTGAAACCTGTTCTTAATTGATATGATAGACATAAATTAAAGTTGCAGAGAAATGTTCGATATCCGAAATAAAAGTGGATTCTAACTCTTCTACAGAGTGTGCTCGTTTTGGCTCTGAAAATCGTTCTCATTTTATTAAATCATAAATGATATATTAAATATATCCTGCCTGCCACTTTGCTTCTACTAAGCCCTGGTTTAATTTACCACGATTTGTTTTGTTCTCTTTGGGCTCATGGAGGCATGGCGTTTTTAATTGCTCCACCATTCATAATTATATCAATTATGCACTCGGGTAATGCACGCGTTCGTCAGCGCGACAAGTGGCCGCCAGAGACCCAATAGAAATGAGCATGTTTTCGTCGGGTTCGAGTCATCAACTATGTTGTTAATTAAAAGTTAGGGCCCTCGTGTGCTCAGTGCTAGTTGCCAATTAGCAACTGAGATGTGCCCTCAAATATCGATTTTCTGGCTCAAAGCGGCAAAGTGAAAGTTTTGCCTAAGTTATGAGCTGACCGCTCAAAAAGATGAGATTGCCGTTGGGGTTGCTTAGTGACTGATATTTTATGTAATTCCATTATAGATTCTACACATGCACATTGCCAGTATTGAGAAGCTTCCATTAAGCACAACGGGCTCGCCGCTTCTAATCCGTTGCAAGACATTTCTGTCTGTGACATTTGTCATACCCAAGGACTCTGAGTGCCACGATGTTTACACTTCGCTCATCAAGCTCTTTCAGCCGGGTAAGTAAGGCAAATAAATCCCTTTATTATGCCAATCAATTCTAGTCAAATCTTTTCCCCATAGTCTCCATTAATAAGCTGTACTGCTTCAACTATCAGCCGGCCAAGGATGATTTTCCCAAAAATGCTGGCTGGGACTTTTTCAAGTTGGAGGCAGAGTTTAAGCATATGCTGGTGCCCAACGACAACTGGACGCTGTGCTCCATGAATGAGAAGTACGAACTGTGCGACACATATCCCCGTCAGATCTATGTGCCCAAGGAAGCAACCACATTGATGCTGTTAAGCAGCTCTCGCTTTCGCTCCAAGGGACGCCTGCCCGCGTTGACCTATTTGCACAACAACCGGGTACACAACTATAAATAACATAACAACTAAAATCACTTTAATTGAATCGAATGCATCTGTTCAACAGGCGTCCATATGTCGCTGCAGCCAGCCATTGTCGGGCTTCAGTGCGCGCTGTCTGGAGGACGAGCAAATGCTGGAGGCCATACGCAAAACAAATCCCAATACCGACTATATGTTCGTTGTCGATACGCGACCACGAGTAAGTAGCAGGCCTAAAAGAAAAACGGCAAATGTATATATATATATGTAAATATGTAAATAACGAGACTCTTGTGTATAGATCAATGCCATGGCCAATAGAGCCGCTGGCAAAGGTTATGAGAACGAGGCCTTTTACGAGAACATTAAGTTCCATTTTCTCGGCATTGAGAACATTCACGTACAGCGCGCCAGCCTGCAAAAGGTGCTGGAAGCCTGCGAACAAAAGTCGCCCACAATGAGCGCATTTCTGAATGCCCTGGAGTCGTCCGGCTGGCTTAAGCACATTCGTTCCATATTGGACACGTCGAGGTAAGCAAACACATTAAACACTCAGCTGCAAGAGAAATCGTCTTTTGTTTACTTTCCAACACCCGACACGGAATTCATTCAGTCGACAAATTTCTCCGTTTCTATCCACTATGTTTCTCAATATTTATATTGTTTTTACTATACCCTGAAGGTGGCTGAAAACTTTGTGGTGCAAAGTTATAAATGATAATTGTATATTTTTCATTAAATGTGTAAATTTATAAGTATTTTAGGTATTTAAATTAACTTTTCGTGGGTTAAAAAGCCACTTTAATTTGATTTTTAGCTAACACAAATAATATTATATGATATATTGCTCGCTTTCCATTACAGTTTCATTGCGAACGCCGTCGATAAGGGTGTTTCGGTGGTTGTCCACTGCTCTGATGGCTGGGATCGCACCGCCCAAGTTTGCTCACTGGCACAGCTGATGTTGAATCCGTATTATCGCACAATTAAAGGATTCCAGGCGCTCATCGAGAAGGATTGGCTGGCGTTTGGGCACAAGTTTAGCGAGCGCTGCGGCCACATCCAGATGGATGCGCGCGAGGTTTCGCCGATATTTACGCAGTTCCTTGACTGCACCTGGCAGCTAATGTCGCAGCGCAGCGAATCCTTTGAGTTCAACGAGCGTTTCCTACTCATACTGCACGATCATGTACATTCGTGCCAGTTTGGCACCTTTGTTGGCAATTGCGAGAAGGATCGCCTGGACCTGAAGCTGGCCGAACGCACATTCTCGCTGTGGGGCTACATGGCCAACCATCTGAACGAGTATATTAATCCGCTGTACAAACCCAATGTGGATGAGTCTATCAAAGCCAATCTGGCACCACAGTGCATCAAGTAAGTAACGGCAATCGATCAGAGCTTAAGCAACACACTCTATTTGATTTGGCTTATAGATTCTGGCGTGGTATGTATAGCCGCTTTGAAAGTGGCATTCATCCCCGAGAGCCGCTTGGTGATTTACTCCTGGACAGCAAGGAACACTGCAATTCGCTGGAGGATCATGTGCAGCACTTGACCAAACGGATTGCCAGCTTCAAGAATTACATTTCCAAGTCGGCCAAGAAACTGCAGGATGCCACCACCACCACCACCACAACAACAACCACCAAAGTTACCAAGGAGACAACACCCAACGAAATCAATGACAACAAGTACAACAACAAACACATTGCTTTCTATAAATATTTTTGGTATAGACACTAAATGTCAATATGCAACTTTGCAGGTACAACTACGACAAGAAGCTGAGCGAGTTGTCCGCCGCCGATGATGATCATCCGCTGAAGGCGACCAACATGTCATTTGCCAGTCTGTCGCTAAATGCCGAACAAACGAGCCCGCAAACCTTGAACGAGGAGATCTCGTCTGTGGCACTGGATTGGAAATCCATGCGGAGCGTTACCAACTGCTCCTGCTCCACGCCCTTCGATCAGTTCAGCAAAAAGGTGAGAGTTCTGAAGACCTAACCAGGGCAACTACCACAAGTCATTCGCCTTTCGTTTGCAGATACATTGTTGGCGTTGCGGCGACATCTTCTGCGAACGTTGCATTGACAAAAGCGTAGCGTTGCCAGGACACGAGAGTGGAAAGCCGGTTCCAGTCTGCCGCGGCTGCTTCCGACAGATGCAGAAGCAGAGTCCATAAACCCAGGTCTAGCATAATACTGCATAGTTGTAAATTGTTGAGCGTGAATGTGGACAGCGATCGAGCGAGAGCTGGCGAGTGGACGTATTTGTTGCATGAAATACATATACAAATATTACATACAGATATATATATATTTATCATATATACATATATCATATGTATATACATACATATACTACAATATTATATTTATTGTTGCATTTGTAGTTGTAGCTACTTAAAAGCATATTGGACATTCGACTTATTGCGTGCAAATTAAGCAAAACATTCAAGTTTGGCATCGCTTCCAGCGCATTGACGTCTCCCACAACCGATCCTAGTTATCTATATATAAGTCGTGCACAAAACTATTATATGTTGTTTTTTAATTTTTTAACTATGATGCCTGCTCACATAATTCAATTCCATTGGATATCCATCAAAGTCAATTTAGTTTACATTGATAAATACAATTCGAATTCAAAAAGGATTCACAAAATGGTCACGGTTTTGAGCTAGCATTTATGTATTACATTTTATAGAACGGCTAAAAGTACAATTAAATCTTAATGTTGCAGAATCTCGATTCAGACAGTAAGCATTCCATATCCACTAACATATTTGCCATAATGTTTTGAACTTTTGATTATTTTTACTTTAGCAATCGATCTCTTGCCCCCTTATCCCACAACACATAAGAAAGTACAATTGCTTACATATATGTATGCTTATATGGTAAAATTGCATGGATACAATAAATTCAAAAACAAAAATCAAAATCCTAACGTGTAATTCAAGCTGTCAAAGCCGTAAATTTACTGTGCAACAATGTTTGATCAAAATATAATAAAAAGAAACATATTTATTCAAAGTTCTCATTTGGACTCTTTTGTGTTATCTATTTGAATCTCTGAAAAAGCAACAGTCAAGCAAAAAGCAATGGATTGAGTGGGGTGTCTAATAGCCAATATCTGGCTTGATGCGCAGAATTACGGGTACGCTGGTGCAAGGCAGAATGGCCACCTCGGTGACAACGGCGCTGACCAGTTCCGGTGGCGTGATATCATAGCTAAGATTGAGCGGGGTCAGTCGACTCTTTGTCTGCCAATTGTTGAGACAGCACTTGCCACTCATGACCAGCTGATTAGGATCGCACAGCTCATTGTAGACAATGGCATCGGTCTGGAAACGCTCACTGAACTTGTGCGTCTCGCAACAGACGAGCACGGGCACATTATGCGCATTGGCGACGAGTGCGACCTGGGCGGTGCCTGTTCGGGCCATAACATAACCGTTGGCAAGCAGCGCATGTGCGCCGAGCATTACTTTGGTTGCCTCCGGCATGACATAGCCGATGGCATTGATGAGCACATAGGTGCAGGGTATGCCGTGAGCATGCAGGCGACGCAGCATCTCCTGGCCCTCGCAAAATGGTCGTGAGTCAACGACAATCACACGGAAGGCCACCTGACGACGTTTGGCCTCCTCACAGATGAACTGGATGAGCGAGGAGCAGGCGAATGTGAGCAGCACATCTCCATCGGTGATCTTCTCCTGCATTGAGCTGCTAATCGCCTGGGCGGCCTTGCCAATCTGATTCTCTATGTAGGTGTCTATGAAGTGTTCGAGTTGATCCTTTAACTGGAATACCAAAAACAAATCAGTGAATTACCCTGCTGCATTTTATGTTTCTCTTTGGCACACTTTACCTCTGTTTCGGGTTGATCCGCTGGCAGCTGAGTCAATTGGTTTTTGAACTGCTTGTAGGCATTGTAGACAGAAACAGCCAGCGGTCGGCATTTGTTTAAATGATCCACATGATGCTTGACCGCCACATCAAGACTGCGTCCAAACTCCTTCTTCGCTGGCGTCTCAAAGTCCCGCACCACCTGTCGCAGTGCGTGCAGGAAGGCAATGCAGCGTGCATTGGAGCCGACAACAGTTCGTTCGGCATACTGGACACCCAGACGAGCCATACTGGGATGCAAGTTGGGATCGTTCACAAATAAGCTGGCATCCTTGTCAGCGCTCGCCAAATGATTGAACAGCTTCATTTTGCACTCTCGTTCCGCTTTGAGCGTCGACAGCTTAACCGGTGACTTGGCGGGTGATTCACTGTCACGTTTCGGCTCTTTTACAGGCGTAGCACTAACTTTTGGCGTCGCCTTAGCGCTGCTTGCGGCTGCTTGGGTTATTGGGGCAGCTTTTGTTTTAGTTTGTCCCTGCGCCTTGGCCGCACGCTGCGCCTCCTGTACAGCGCGTCGCTCCGCCTTGCTAAGCGGTGGTTTTTTCTGCAAGCATTCAAAAGCATTACAGAAATTATAGTAGAATTTATAAACATGTGCTTGGTTACCTTTTCCTGATCTGCTGGCGATGAAACTTCTGTTGCAGCAGTTTCATTGCCCGTAGTCTTGGCTGCAACATGCAAATTATTTAATTGCTGCGGTACTGCGTCCACGTTATTTGCTTTGACTGATTTGGACGACTTGGCCGCATGCTTGGCTGCCTTCTTCGCCTCGCGCTCAGCTTTGATTTGGTCGCGTGTCTTTTCGCCAGTGGTGATCGAATCTGCTGAAACTGGAATATTTGTGGCGACGGCGGCAGTTGTGGGCGTGATGGAGGCTGCAGCTAATGACAGTTGGTTTTTATTATTATTATCCTTTGACTTGGTTGTTGTTGTTGTTGTGGTCGTTAGTTTTTGTGTTATGGTCGTTTGCTCAACTTCAGTGATGATTGTTGTTGCCGGCGTTTGGTTGGGTGGCTGCTTCTGTTTCTTGGATTGCTTCGCCAGCTTTTTGGCCTCGCGCTCAGCCATCACTTGCTCGCGGCTCTTATCCGCTGCTGATGCATTTGGCTGTTGATTACTGCCAGCTTTTTGCATTGCACTTTCGATTTGTGTTTGAATTTTGGTATCTTGAGAACGGTTTCGTTTGTTTCTGGGCCGATTGCGTTGGCGTTGTTTCTTCTGCTTGGACACCGGAAAGCTTGTTGACCCCTGTGGAGTTTGCACAACAAATATATTATTGGTTGTAAGGAAGCCAATGGGAAATATAACCAGGAAAAAATGCAATGAGCATGCCAAACAAAAATCACAATTTCTATTGCAACCTAAAATATGTCAATGAAAGTTTATGTTAGGAAAGCTGCAAATATACCTGTTCACTGGTTACAACCATTTTGAAAGGCTTGAAAATACAAACATGAGGACTTTTTAGTGTTAAGGGACCTAATCATACAAACAACATATAACCACAACACGGAACCCATAATTTTCAGACACACTTCTATTTACCTTGTGTGAATTTATTTTTGCTGAATTTCTTGCTCACGATGGCAAAATCTAGCAGCTGGACGCTAAATGTTGCCACATTTCAAATCAAAACATGTGCAGCCCTGTACGTAAGCAATGTGAATGTCAAATGCACGTTAATACAAGTGAATGGGCAACAGAGCAGACGGAAAGATAATTTTCCCTATGTATGTTATGAATTAAAAGTAAATGCACGTTTTAAATCATTTATTTGACCATTTAATATTCATGTAAAGCCACCAGCAGTGGCTTTGAAATGTAGATGCAACTTTAAACAACTAAAATCAATGGCAGCAACCTCTGATCTCAACAGATTAATGGTGTTCAGCAGCCTCCTTAGCTTGGCTGGCAGCCCAGGCCTTCTTGTTTTCGGGCGAGTTGGCTGCAAGAAAAAAAAGACGACAGAAGCATGGCAATAATATTACAGGCAATTGCAAATCCTTAAATTCAATACTTACCCAACTTGCTAATCTTGTAGAAAACGGGCACACAGGCGACCGCTGCAATGAAATAATAGCGCCAGATCCATTGGTTCTTAATGTAATGCTTAATTGGGAACTGGGCGATTTTAGCCGAGAACGTGTATGGATATTTCATTGGACGTCCAGCGGGTTTGTCAGCAACAACTTTGTCGGCCATGGTTGTGATTTTGTTACTGTAAATTTGGTAAATTTGTAAATTGTTATTTATTATGTAATTTTTGGTTGCGAATACCGCAGTTACGTACCTCTGCGAGACTGCGAAAATACCACAATATCTCAATGAGCTGCAGCTGCCCTGGTAAAACGTGAAACGCGAAGTTGGCTGCGACTTGAAGAGCTGCCAACTCGTGCTGTTTAATATTCAATATTTAATTTACAAATTAAATTGGGACAAAAGGGAAATGTTTTCCTTCCACTAACTATAGTATTTCTGAAATTGTATTTTGTAGATTTAGTTTGCAACAATAAAGCCTGCTTAAATGAATTTCAGATTCTATTCATTTCATGTGTGCAGCATAATGGTCACACTTTTATTTTAATGTACGGCATCACTATTTACCGCTATGTGTTGCCGGCGTAAAACGCGAAGTTTTCTTAATTTTTCGATTACCACAAAAATGTAAAGTAGCAACTAATTTTAGAAGCTTTCTTAAGGCATTGAAGTTTTTTAGTATGCATTTTAACTGTTTTGATAAATACGTGTTTGCCCGTTAGGCCGGAGCAGTCTAGGACATAACAACCTAAACGTTTACCGCTCAAAAGCACGTGAAACCAAAAACAACACAAATATAAATACTGCCATGCCGGAGAATTTGGGCTTTGATGTGTTCGACTCCCTGTTCACCGCACCAATAGAGATTCAACAGCAGCATAATGCCAGCGACAATCGAATACACTCGGCGAAAAAGGCACGCAGACTCGCCGAACAAATTGCGGAGACCGACAAGCTGCGCCGTCAGTTTGAGGACCAAAAGCAGCAGCTGCGCGAACTGCAACGAACTGCGAACGAAGTGACCGAAATTTATCAGCGGGAAAAACAGCAACGCGTGGAACTCGAACTCCGCACGGTGGCAAACAGTCAACTGTGCGAGGACTTGAAGCAGCAACTAGAGGATCAGCGGATAAGCTGTGAACAGCTGCAGGACCAGCTACATGTCAAAGTGCTGCCGATACAAGTCGAAGATATGGTTCGCATGTATATGCAGCGCATTGGCCGCGATGCGCACGCCGGTGTCACCACACGACCAGAGCGCATGATGATTATGCAGCTAACAGAATACTGTAGTTCGGCAAATATTTCCATACCTCAGCTGAAGAAGCGAACAAAACCACAGCAGCAGCAACAGGAACTGCAGCCACCGCAGAATGTGGTGCCCAGTAGATCGGAAATGTGTTCGATTGCCGTGCAAACGGACGATGTGCCCAGCAGGCCGGCAATGTGCTCGATTGCTGTACAAACGGAAAAGTTGTCCACCCGGAATCAGGGCATACAGCACAAGAATACGACAACAACGCGGGCAACGACAACAGCCTCGTTAATACAAACGAACGATGTGGGTACGTCGTGTCCATATGCGAAACCTGCTCCAAATGCTCAACAGATTCTAGATGAGATGCTCTCGTGGCGCAAAACACCAGTGAGTCCCATCTGTGATCCGCCCGATGCAGTGGCAACTGCAACGGTAACGGCAACAACAACAACATGCAGCATGGGCACTTGCACGGATCTGTGCAATGTGTTGCGAGCGATTGACTTTCTGCCCAAGGTGCCGGCAACGGTGAAGTGCTCGGATTCGAGGCCACCGTCACGTGGCAATTACGAAAGTGTCAAAGATGAGATGGCGATGCCAACCGATTTAAGCGGCTATAGCCATGACACGCCCAAGAATCTGCTGGGCTTTTTGCCACACAACCAAAGCATTTTGGCCAAAATGCCACCGCAAGACTTCGAGGAAATCTGGCAAGTTCTGGGCAAAATGATTCTCGTCGCTCTACGTCACCCAACGAACGCCATTAGCCAAGCGGATTGTCACAGCTGGTTCGACGAACTACTGGAAATTTCAATAAACCAACCAAATAATGTGGCATGCGACAGCAACAACCAAAATGGTATGCGGCTTTCACTGCGATCTTAGTTAAACCAACTAATCATTTTATTTGCAGATGGCGATGAGTTTACGGCAGCATCAAAAAAACCAACGCCTATTGATATTGGCACCGAACCCATTAAGGAGTCGTCATCGCAACCGAAAATTGGCTTAGAACTGACGCCAATCCGGCTGCCACCGGTACCGAAGATCAATCCAAAGACGAACAAGGTACAAAAAACCGTGCCACACTCAACAAACGCACCCGAGCAGGAGCAGCCAAATGAAACTGCTGTTCACTTCCTAAGCAACTTATATGCTTATCACAAGCCGAACTTGGATAATTTAGACATTGAACTGGATGCCGAGGAGCGTCAATTGCTGCATCTGACGACGGCGACATTAATACCAAATCAACAGCTACAAAATGTGCCAGTATATTGCGAGCAAGTTGCTCACCAATTGCCACAAATCGGAAATGCTGCAGTGGACAGTCAAAAACAACTAGTTCAAGCTGCTGATAGTGAGCAAGTGGCCAATGCAGATGAACATCTACTACCTAGCATAAGCAATGCAGCAGCAAACAGTCCTAAACTGCCAAATGCCGCTTTAGATTGCGAGCCAGGTAACCCAATAACGGTTAATGCAAAGGAGCAAAGATTGCCAGAAATTTGCTCGTCACCTGTTGATGGTGAGCATGTTGCCGCGAAAGATAGCAACCAGCAGCTGACATTGTCTTTGTTTGGCAACGATGCGGATTCCGAAGATGAAGAAGCAGAAATGCTTACGCATGAGCAAACTTCAAATCGTCTTATACAGATAGCACCTGAAGAAGATGCAATCCATTCGGATGAGGACAGCATTGACGACGACCACAATTTGATCATCGATGAAGCTTACTCGCAGAGCTACCCTTGCTCCGTTGATGACAACCAGGGCAGTACTCCAGATTGCATAACAATGCCACAGGAAAACGATGAGAAGCCTGCTCAACAGTTGCATGTTGACAAGCGCAAGCGAAAGTCAAGCAGTATGTGTGAGTCGCAGCCGGTTGTTAAGCGATTCACGCGACTGCAGGCCAAGAAGCAGCTATTGTTGGAATCGGACAATTTGAAAAGTGAAGTGCAGCCAAGCTGTATTTATGATTGCTCCCCCATGTCACCAATTGCCACAAACGGTTGCGAGGAGAGTGAGCAGAGCGAGCCCATTGAAATACCACTGGAGCCACCTGTCGGCGAACAGGGCGAGAGTGCACCAAAGGCGCTGTTGTGTTACGTCATCAATTCACTCAAAGATGGCACCAAGCAACGTGGCATCCGCAAACAGCAGCAGCAGACGCAGATGAGCAGTAAACAATCGGATCAACTTAAGCGGCAAATCATCGCTTACTTAAAGCACCCGGCACCGTCAGAGTTGGAGACGTGTGCCCAGCTCGTAAATACAGACGATAATCAGGATGTTGTTATCAATGCCATTATCTCGGCATCCTCTGAACTGAAGGATAACAATGCCTTGGAAGTTCTGCTTTGTGTGCTGGTGCCTTGTAATTTCAAGAGATCCTTGTTGATAGAGCGTCTAATACACCGATTGGAGCAGTGTTTGTTCCACCCGAATAAACGAGGCACGACCCAGTTGGCTCTCGAATATGTGCGACTTTCTTTGCAGTTGATGCGACTGCAGGCAAACCTCGCTGAACCGCTAGAGTATCAGAATCAGAATCCGGCACGCTTATTGCTGACCAAAATACTGTATCACTATAACAGGGATATGACGCTGCTGGTGCTGGAGGTACTCAGTCATTTCCCAACGGTGCTGCCGCATCGCGAGGAGCGTGCCTATGATAATGCCGATCCTCTAATTACGGTCATCAAGCATTGCCTCATGTGTCACAAGTACGAAGTCCAGGCACCCGACGGCCCCGATCGTGCACTGTTGTCCGCACTGCGCTTTCAATATCACTTCCAGCCGTTCGAGCCTACCAGGCAGCAGGTGATCACGAATCTGGTGGAGAAACTTAAAGCTGGCCATGTTCATCAGCTCAGCTATGCCTTTGCCCTGTTTTGCAAGTGCGTTCAGGGTTCGTTTGCAATCAAGGACGTGCTGGCGGCACAGTTGCTGCCGCTGGTCGACGACTACTGTGGTTTGTGCACCCGGAGTGAGGAGTACGATGGGCGCATGGAGTGCCTGCTGCAGTGCATATCGATGATTGTCAAACAGCTGCCGCTGGACAGCAAGATCGACATATCGGTGTATATAGCGCTATTCCAGCAAGTGTTGGTGGCGGTGCCACGCCCGCAGGTGCAACAAGCAGCCGTTCAGGCCATTCTGCGCACGCAGCGCTTCGGTTACGCCTTTGCCTTGGATGCCCTGCGCAGCTACAGGCCCAACTATCCGCTAACGTCCATGACCCGAGCGATGCTGCGCAGCTTTGCGGAGCGACGGTGGCAGTATAAGCACCCTCATTGAGATGATGAATTTTTATTTGATAGATTGATAATTGGTATGAATTTTATCTATTTATTTGTATATTTGTGTATATATTAAATTGAATTAAACTAAATGCACTCTGCAAGTGATATCTTTACAACTTTTAACTTACAGCTAAAATTAATTTGAATTAAACACAAACAAAAAAGGGAAAACACATTAAATGTAGAAATGATTGCACGATTAAATGGAAGTAGCGTGGAGTGTGTGGTGTGTGTGTGTGTCTGAGTGTGTGGCGTGTGTACGTCATGTGAATCGTTCGAGCAACAGAAAGAAGCATTATTTCAAATTTACATTAGTTTTGAACTGTACAATAACATGCGGGTATATATAGATATATAACCAAGATGAAATGCCTGATACAGCAAAATAACAGTACGTCAACAACTTGTGGCTAAGTTGAGGTAAGGTACTTTTTGTGAACTTGGGCTAAACGTTCAGCTTGATTTGTAGTAGTCTAGAAGCGTTTCATTGCAAGGATGCCACCAGTTGTTGCCTTCGAGCGCCAACAACTCTTGCTAGATCAGTTTGTTTAGCTGCAAACAAATAAATAAACAAAAAAAGTATCTATAAGAAAATGCTGCAATTTATGTTCGCATTTGATGAGACATACTAGTGAGCGACGCTGGTGCTCCTTTTCAAGGGCCACCTGTGCCTGCTGTGGGGAGAACTTTAGCACAGCCGATATGACTTTGACCAATGTTTCGTTGTTCGTATTGCCGGTTAAATACTGCAAAAATATATTAAATAAAAAGTGTGTTAACAAAACGATGGAGTCTAAGGACTATCTATCTACCTACCTGGAACATGATGTTGCGCAGATACTCAAACTCTGTGTTAGCGGGCACGCTGTCGCTATGCTGCATGGATACCTGGAAGACACACAACGACACAACATATTTAGCAATGATATATAGCACAGATCAGCCTGTCTATTCAACTTACCAGTGTTTCATCCAATTGGCGCGACAACTTTGCATTCTGCAGCTTGAGTCGTTCGTTGGATTGCTCGAGTATGAGGAAGTTTTCGCACTTTTGTTCGAGGAACAGATTTCGATTGGTCACATCCTGCACCTCGCTCATGATCTCCTTGAGTTTGGCCTCCAGCAGGGCCTTCTCGTCGCTGGCCACTGCCTGCTGAACGCTCTTGGGCGCCAGGTTGGCAAGCAACTGTTGCGCCTGGATACCAGCACGCAGTGTCTCCAATTCGGTGATACGTTCGGTCATTTCTTTGTTGTTCGCCTGCAGCTCATCGATTTCCTGCTGCAGATTGGACTGCTCACCGTTGCTCTTGTGCTTCAGGTCCTCTAGTTCACGTTGTAGCTTCTCATTGAGGCGGCGCAAATGCTCGGAATCGTTGGGCAGTGAAGTTGTTGTTGGCGCCGACTCTTGCTCCCGCTCCTGCTCCCGCTGCTGCTCAGGCTCCTGCTCCTGCTCACTCTTTTGCTTGTTTAGTTCTTCCTCGAGACTAAGACAGCGCTCTTCTGTCTTCGCCAGCTCGACTTGGCGCTCCTGCAGCTGGTGCTGAACATGCAGCAGCTCCTTCTGCACCGCATCGTTTTGTTCGCTGACGAATCTGGCGTGCTCGGTCTGCCGCGTCAGCTCAAGCGATTGCTCGTCCAGTGTTGATTTTAGATGCGCTGCCTCCGTTTTGGCCGCGTTGCTCATTGCATCCTTTTCAGCCAGTTGGGTGTCATGTTGCAGCACCTGGTCCTGCAACACGTACAGCTCGCATTGCAGCGATTTCAGTTTCTCGCCGCTGTCGCCGTGATTACTCAATGCCAGCGAGAGTTCCATCTCCAGCTGTTTGGTATGCTTATTCAGATATTCGTTCTCGATTTGCAGCTGCTCTAGGTCGGTTTTCGTTCGCTCGGATTCGGTTGGGATCTTTAGCGTCTCGATTTCCCGCTGCAGTGCATCATTTGCCTCGTGCAGACGCTGCACATCCCCATTGGCGGCACTGCAGCGCTCCTCGAGCGTGGCCAGCTGCGCTGCATGGGCGGCACTGGCCACTTGAGCCTTATCCAGATTAGCTTCCTCCACTTTCTTGAGGGAGTCCAATTGCTCACGCAGATTGCCCACAGTTTCCTGCAGCGCTGTCAGCTGCTCAGTGCTGGCCTCCAGTTTGGCGGCACGTTCCGTCTGATCCTTGAGTTGCTGCTGCCGTTCGTGGTCTCGCTCGCGTATCTCCGCCAGTTGCTGTTGTGCCTGATCCAAGCCAAGCTGCAAGCTATTCGTCTGCTTTTCCAAAGCTGCCTTCGCCTCTTGCATGCAGTTGAGCTCATCCTTGGCTATCAGATTTTCCTTTTCGTATGCATCACACTTGTCCTGCAGCGTGCGATGATCATGCTCCATGATCTCCTGTGCATTTTGCAGCTTGGAATGCTCGTCGAGCACCTGTTGCATTTTGCTCTGTAATTTGGTAAGCTCGTCCTGCTGTTTCTCTAAGTGATTGTTTTGCTCCTGCAGCAGACAATTGTGCTCGGCCAATTTGCTGTTCTCGCGCTCAATATCTACCAGTCGGGCCGTGGACAACTCACCCTGTGCATCGTTCTGTTGTTGCTGCTCCTGCAACTCCTCAATGTGCGTTTCCAGTTGTCGTTTTTCGCGTTCGAGCTGTGCCTGTGCCGTCTGCACATCTTGCAGATGCGTTTGCATCGTGGTAATCTCCTCGAGAATGACAGTGACACGCTGCTGCAGTTCCTGCTTCTCGCTGCGCAACTCCTCAATTTTGCCAGACTCGATTTTGAGTTGCTCCAGACTGGCAGCTTGTTCGCTGTGCTTCGCCTGCAGCTGCTCGTGTTGCTTTTTCAGCTTGTTCAACTTGCCGGCGCCGGATTTCAACTCTTTCTCCTTGGCCTGAGCCACACTGAGTTGGTCACCAAGTGCCGCAATTTGTTGTCTTAGGCTTGCTATCGTCTCCGACTCTGTGTTGGAGCTGCTGGCGATGTGATCGTTTAGGGTTTGCAGCTCACGCTGCAACGTAAGCGCCTGCTCCTTACAAACTGCATTTTCAACGGTGAGTGCAGCAACAGTTTCATTCTCTTTCTGCAGACTCTTTTCGGTCTCGAGCACACGCTGATCTTGCTCCATTAGACGCGTCCTGGCAGCTTCCAGCTGACTCTGCACCTCCTCTAAAGATGACTCGTTCTGCTGGTAGCGTTGTACAATTTCGTTTAGCTGATTGTTCTGCAAATGCAAATCCTGCAGACTCTGCTCGCTGTCCATTTTGAGTGCATGCAGCTGTTTGGCCAAATCAGCCACCTGTTGCTCCTTTTCCATGTGCTCGGATCTCAGTGTGTTCAACTGCTGCTCTGTGTCAAGTTGTTTACTATCCGCTTCCTGTTTGGAATTTTGCAACTGCTTTAGCTGCTCCTTGACATCCGCAGCTTGTGCCTCACGCTCGGCTGCGATCCTCAGCTCAGCTTCTAATTGTATTAGCTTCTCCTGCAATTGTCGCACTTCAACTTCGTTATGCTGCTCCAGCGTTGAGTGCAATTGCTTTTGCTGTTCTTCCTTTTGCATTTGCTCCGATCTCAACGCGCTTAACTCTTGCTCCATTGAGATTAGTTTGGCATCTGCTTCCTGTTTGGCATTTTGCAGCTGTTTTAGTTGCTCCTCGATATCCTTGGCTTGTGTTTCCCGACTGATTGCCAGTTCCAACTCGGTTTCTAGCTGTTTGAACTTCTCCTCCAGCTGCTGCAATTTGATTTCTTTTTGCTCCAGCTCGGGCAATATTTTCGTAAGCTTTACCGCAAGTTGTTGCTCCTTTTCCGTTTGCTCATTTAGTTGTTGTTCCGTGGCAGTAAGTTTAGCTTCAGCTTCCTGTTTGCTTTGTTGCAGTTGCTTTAGCTGTTCCTTGATGTCTTCTGACTGCGTTTTAGCTGTGTTTGCCTGTTCCAGGTTAGCTTCTCGCTCCTTTAACTGCTCCTGCAACTGTTGCACCTCCGTTTCCTTAGTAGCCAACTCGGATTCAATTTTCTTCTGTTGGGCTATCAGCTGTTGATTCTTTTCTGCTTGCTCGGCACGCAGAGTGCTCAGAATATGCTCGGTTGCAATGAGCTTGGCGTCCACTTCCTGTTTGCCACTCTGTAGTTTCTTTAGTTGCTCCTTGATGTCCACCGACTGCGTTTCTCGACCATTCGCCGTCTCTAGCTCAATCTCCAGATGCTTTACATTGTCCTGCAGCTGACGCACTTGGACTTCCTTGTGCTCCAGCTCTGTGTGTATCGCTTGCTTTGTCTGTGCCAGCAACAGCACATTTTCCTCCTCCTGCTTGCGCAGCGCTGCAATTGTGCTGTTGGCCTCTTCATTGTTTTTTCTTAGCTCCGTCAGCTGCGCTTCTTGCTCGACCAGCAATTGGCGTAATTTCGCGAGTTCCTCATCCACCTTCAGGGCGGGCTGACTACCATTTGCTGTGGGCGCTGCCCCCGTAGTTGTCATCGTCATTGGCTCCTCGAGATCGATCAGCTTGTCAGCGGCGTTCGCCTGGCCACGCTCTAGTGCGGCTGTAACATTATCAGGATTTTCGCCAAGTAGCTTTAGCTTGGTTTGGTATGCCTGCATCTTGCAGCTCATATCATCCATTTCAACACGCAACGCTTCCTCCAGATGTGCTTTCGCCTGTTGCTCCAGCGTGCATTGTTCTCGCAGCTCGCTGATGCGTCGCAGCGCCTTATCCTGCGTCTCCACGAGCACGGACTGAAAGCAAATGTAAAACAATTAACTATTGATATTTAGCTGTAGAAAGAAACCATTTTTTTGGGTCTGCTCTCATACCCTCGCCTTGCTGCTGTCACGCTCCAATTCCCTGTACTTCTTGGCCAGATCCGAGTAGCGGCAGCGATATTTGTGATAGCGATCGAGTGACTTTTTGTATGCATCGTACAGCTGATCCTTGGTAATAACATCGAGGCGTGCCGTCGATGCGGAGTCATCAAACTCACTGCTCGTCTCATCCAAATCGGACTGCAAGTGATACATCTAATTTTTTGAAGAATTGACAGATTATAGATTAGACAGATTAATGTAACAATTAAATAACATTCCGGAGATATGCACACACTTACCGCTGGCGCATCATATGTGGGCAGACGGAACGATACATCGCTAGCCATGGACGAGTTGGATAGCTTGCGGGCACGCGGTATTGCACCACTTCCGCCCACGCCATTCAGTGATTGGGTCGAGGCGCGACTGCCTGTCGGCAACTTTTGTATGCGGTACGGCGAGTTTTGTGGCGTATCTAAAGAAATACATGCATGCAATAAAGATAAATCAAGATAAGACAACGAATCGAAAACGAACTGCAAAAATTACCCTCTTCGGTGATGCTGAAGAAGTTCTCCGGAGTGCCGCTGCCGGTGTTCTCCGAGTTCGGAGTTGTTGTGCTGGACGATGAGCTCACAGCGGCCTACAATACAAATAAAGCAAGCCGATAAAGCTTTGATTGTATGTGTGTGTGTGTTTGTGCGTACGCGTATGTGGGTGTGTGTGTATGTGTGTGTTTGCCATAAGCTGTGCGAATGGGTGGGGAGTTTGGGTGTGCGCACAGCTGCCAGTCAGTCTGATGCAAATGGGTCATACTGAACATTTTTAGCATTTTGCTATGCTTCTTTCGGCAGCATTCCCAATTAGCCACAAAACAAACACTCAAACACACTCATAGACACACACACATACTGCTTGTTTGTGTGCGTATGTTTTCGTTAATTCGCATTTTTTTTCTGTCTGTTTCTTGCCTGGGCTGCGTTTGCAAATTGTTGGAATTTGGACGGCGACGCTTTCACCTCCTCGATAAGTTTATTTTTCAGATTGGCAAACATAGTGTGGCAGTTGCTGCGCTTGTTGTTTACTGCGTTGACTACTTAATTTAGGCACAATTGAATTTATATAAAAAAACATCTAATATAAATAAATACGTGTCTGCAGATATCGCTCCAATTGCCACCAATCTTAAACGGCGCGATGTGGCAGCACTGGTCAGCTGTATATTATGCCCATATTTAGTAATTGTATTTTCTTGGTATTTTTTAGCGCATTTGTATCGTTAAAGTAATACGGTCTGTTTTCAAAAAGAAACGGCTGCTAAAAATTTAAACTTCATTAAATATTTTTTCGCTTCCACATGTTTCTAGTAATACTTTCCAGTATTATTATTAAATAAGTATATTTTAGGGGTAACCATAAAGACTATTTCTTCCCGTTAATCGAAAATGAAAGAAGGAAACAGAAATGATTTGAACTTCGTCTTTTAATTCAAGCAACACTGAAATATATATTTAAATTACTTTTAGCTTGGACTATCATGTCAACATTAAAAAAAAAAACTATTGCCAGTATTTATTCATTATTATATTCATTGCTACTTATTGCTCGCATTTGGATGCTCACATATATATATTTGATTATTGTATTTGCCAAATTAAATGTTGCACACAACAAATATGATATTCAATAGTTTTACCTGTATGCGTGGATTGAGCGAGTTTTGTGCAACAGCTTTGTTCATGTTAATCAGTTGCTTGGGCGGCACCGTGACCAGCGACCAGAATGGAGCCAATGGGAATCTTATGTCAAGTGTACACTACGGATTGGCCGTCGTTGTGATAATGCACATCTTTGGATTTATATCTGGCGCCCATGCGAATCCTTGCGTATCGATCGCTTGCTGTTTACTTGGCTATATTGGCTACAAGATGATGTTCCTCTATGTGATCTGCCAGCTGGCGGGAGCAGCTTTTGGTTACTTTCTACTGCTGCAAATGCTCACACAAGGCATGATTGATGGCTGCAAGCAGGGCATTTGCATTGCAGAGCCCATGAAGAGTCTGTCCTACGTACAGATATTGAGCATTGAAGGCTTCCTTACAGCAGTCCTAGTTCTGGCCTGGTGCGCCCTTTGGGACGTACGCAGCGGTCGATTTCTTGACTCGGTCACCCTGCGAATGGGCTGCTTAGTAATTGCATGCAATTTGGCCGGCGTAAGTTTAAGCGTATAACTTTTATTTTTATATAGCCCGTTGTTGGTTTGCAGGGTCAGCTAACGGGCGCAACGATGAATCCTGGCAAACTTCTTATTCCCACGCTGTTCAAGGGGAATCCGCAAACGGTGCTCCTGCAACTGGGCGGACAACTGTTGGCATCCATCATTGTGCCACCCATTTGGCAATATGCTTGCACACCGCGCTACAAACCCCTACAGGCTGACAACACTGAGAGGCCCACTCAAGAACTGTATTTAACGCCATAAAAATACTGTTTGTTCAATAAAATAATTATATATGCACATTTTACTTTATTGTACACTCGGTGTGATAATTGTGCAGCAATTAGTTGGGCCCCATGCCAGCGCTATTAACCTCAAGTGGACTGCCGTTTGCCGTACAGATCATATCGAACCAGTTGCCGTGGGGATTAGAATACGACATGATTTATGATATCGCGTCTTAACTTGGAAGACAAATTTAAATTTTCCATATTGTGATTCTTATCTATTAATATTTTTAGAAAGGCGCTTTGTTACTATCTCCATTGCTAATACAACTAATTAAGAATAATTTATGCCTAGAAGCAAACAAATATCCGCAGCAACTCACTTATCAGATAAGCACTGAAGCACACGTCGATACGATGATAATTATCTTAATTCTTATCTGGGGTGCAAAAAATAAGTTAGCTAGATAGAGGCTTCCTTTAATTTATTTATTTTTATATCTTATTTTGATACCCTTGAATATACATGTGTGTCAAATAGCAATGGGCTATGTATAATGCAAGTTTAGCTCACATTTTTGGAACATTATTGAAATCTGACAACATGGCAATCCAAATTTAGAAATTATTTGTATATCTACACAAAATGCTACATTATGGAAAGAAAAAGATTCCAGTTCACTTTTGAACACACATTTTGCATTAGAGGTTAACACAACTGATTTACCTTACTGCCCTACAAAACATACTTGTTATTTATTTTGATATTTTATGTCATAATTATACACATACAATTAATTCACTTGGGATTTAAACTATGGGGTAAACTAAATTACGTTACACGTTATAAATGTATACACATGCACACATATATTTGTACATATTTACGAGAGGTTCTACGGCTGTGACTCATTAGGTTGGATGCACTTATCGGCATCGTTTGACTCGCGCCTGAAGACATACTTGTATATGAGGGACGTGACCAATGACCCAGCAATGGGACACACCCAGTAGATCCAGTGGCTCTCCCAGACATTGTTCCACAAGGCAGGCGCGAAGGATCGCACCGGATTCATACTGGCGCCCGTATACTGACCCTAATGTGAAGATGCAAATCAAAGATAAATCAAAACAATGTTGGGCAGTAAGAGATATAAGCAAAAATACGTACCGCAGTTAGGGATAAGCATGCAATGGCTAGCCCGAAACGTATGGCAGTCGAATCCTGGAATTTCGTATTACGGGGATCCCAAACGCCGCAACAGATGGTAATGAGCACACATGTGATCAGGAACTCAATGAGGGCCGCCTGCCAAACGCTAATGCCGCTGTCGACAGTTGTTACGCAGGCGCCGAGCGGGGTATCCAAGCTGCATATGGCATTATGGGGCAACGATGCCTTCAGCAGTCCATAGCCGATGAATGCGCCAGCAATTTGGGCCACAAAGTATGCCAGTGCCATCGGCAGCGATATCATATCATAAATGTAGCTGGCAAGCGTTACGGCGGGATTGAGATGGGCACCAGAGACACAACCGAAGCACTGAATGCATACCATCACAACGAACCCAAAGTTTAAGGAGCACTGCAAATGGGAGTTAATATACTCCGATGTCTGGACACAACCCATGCAGCCCAGGAACAAGAGAAATGCCGTTGCTGTCAGTTCGCCAAAGATGATGCATAGCTTGTCCACAATGACACCTCTGCAATTGAAAGTGAGAAACGGAAACTATTGAGACTTTATACATTCCAATTATACTTGAAGCACCTGCCTTGCATTCAGGTTTTGTTCGGTCATAATGGGGCCAATGTATGTAAAAATAATGCAGGAAAACGACGTTTAACTTGGACGCACAGCACGCAACTGAATTGCGAGCGTCTTGGACACCGAGACGAATATCAAAGAGCGACAGTGAGAGGGGGAAAGGGAAAGGAAGAGAGCATTTGAGACAGAGAGAGAGAGAGAGAGAGAGAGGCAGATTGCAGCGCAGTGTCGGTCGTTTTCGCTGACTGATTAGCTTTGGCACTCGACCCATTGGCAGGTGCTCAAACCACAACCAATAACCCTCCCACAAAGCACATTCTACCCTGGCGACTTTGTGTTGTATTGCCACTAATCTTCAGTGTTGGCTATTATCAATTATCAAATGATCAAATGCTATAGCCATAATTCAGCTCCCACTTTGCACTTGTATGTATATGCTTATATGCTTATGTACTTATTGCCACAAACATTCGAGTACAACTTGTGATGACAACATTTGGGCAATTATTGAAATCACACAACAATAAAAAAAATTAAATAAATTTGTAATTTATTTATACTTTACGTAAGTTTAAAAAATAATCATTTTCAGCTTATAGAATAGAATACAATCTATTTTTGAGTTACAAAGCAATAACAAATGAACAATGATCGAATCGAAAATGCTCGTTTACCTGTCAATCAGTAAAGCACGGAAAAATTTTAATTGTAGTTCTACTTAACAAGTACATATCAATTTGGCGGGATTCAAGTAGAAAGTAATACATTGATTAAGTTAAGTGTTTATAGTGCGATTAATTTTGACTGACTATGTGAAAAGTTAATAATCAGTCGACGTCAAACGAGCTCTTTTTTTCATGAGTATTTAATCAAACAGCTATCAACACAAATAGCGCTTAACGATCATTAAATAATATTGCTGAACACATTGAATAGAGTATTTATTCTTCGACATGCAGTATTTGTTAATGTTTTTATTGCACCGGTTCATTTACAGTGCCATGCGTTAGTAATACAAAAATATTTCCGTTTATGAATGATTTTCTATACTATGAGAGAGGAGTCTTATCAAGCTGTGTTTTTAGATCGATGTATTCACACAGGCAAGAAAGTAGGATTATCAGAGAGACAGGTAATCAGTTCCACTCACATGTTCATACAAATCTGTTTTTTAATTACATCTTCTATCCAGTATATATTGATACATATAGGAGAATCAAAGGCTTATTGTTTTTTACATCATTTGACATTCAAAGATATTGAGATTACAGCTGCCTTTTAAACAGAATATTTATGGCAGGCATGCTGTCAGCGTTATAAATTTAAATTAAACTTTCTTTGATGGTTTGCTATCTGACTGATTGACAGCTCATTATAGCGTCTTGCGATACTTACGACAATCGATCTATATACTTTATTGAGAATTTTGACGGAGTCATTGTAGTCTGTTTATAGACCTTGCTCTTTATTTAAACACAATCAAGCCATTGTGGCTAAAATTAGGACAGATATCTTCCATTATGTAGTAATCGGTAACATTATTTATATCTAGTATTTTTAACGTAACTTCATTAAAACAGTAACGATTTTCAAAAGCAATATGTTTTTGTTTATGGTTTGACATCTATATTAATACTACATTTAAAATTGAAAGCAATATTCTGAGTTGAAAACATGCTAAAATTATATTCAAGAAATCCACTTTGGAAAGGTTAAAGTGTCATAACTTCGCCAAAAGTGATCCGATTTTCAACAGCAACATATTTTTGGCAATGGTTTAATATCTGCTTTTAGATCTGAAAACACTTTCTGGATCGAAATGTATCTTAAGATTCGATTTGTAATAATTCACTTGGAAACTGTTTCAAATTTTAGAATGCCATTACTTCATCAAAGCTGAACCGATTTTTAAAAGCAGTTTCTAAATTTAGAAACAAAGTTCTTGTATAGTTTTATTTATTAAACTTAATCTTTGATTACAACTAATTGGGTAACTGCAGTATAACCACCATAACCTTAGGCATGGATTTATTCGACGAACTGTATTTTGGCATTTGAGGTTTGTAGCTCAACCACTTCTGCAGGGCGCCCCTTGAAGAAGAGTCGATAGATGATTGCAGTGACTGCTGCACCCGCAAGTGGACCCACCCAGTAGATCCAATGATCTTGCCACGAATCGTTCCACACAGCCGGTCCCAGGGAACGTGTCGGATTCATGCTGGATCCGGTGAAAAGGCCCTGTTCAGAAGTAAATTCAGATTGCTGATAGCTCAAAGACAAAAGAGTTGTACTTAATACTGACCGCGGCCAAGTTAAGACTGGAGACTGTCAGACCAAAGCGCAGTGGCACTGAATCCTTAAGTCTGGCATTGCGAGGATCCCAGATCGAGCAGGCGACCATCACCAAACAGCTGGTAATTAAGAATTCAATGAAGACACCCTGCAGCACAGATATATCACTATTGAGAACTGTGACACAGACACCCGCCGGATTGTCCACACTGACGATGGCATTCAAAGGCAGCACTGCCTTCAGCAGACCGTAGCCAATGAGACCTCCAGCCACCTGTGCAACCAAATACGCAATAGCCATGGGCCAACTCAATGCACCAAAGATCCAAGCAGCTAGAGTAACGGCCGGATTGAGATGGGCGCCGGAAATGGAGCCAAAGCTCTGTATGGCAATCATAATGCCGAGGCCAAAGTTCAGGCTCAGCTCAAAGTGAGTGTTGTAGAACACGGGTGAAGTCACACAGCCCATGCAGGCCACAAATATGAATGTCGCCGTGCCAGCAAGCTCACCAAAAAAGGCAGCCACGTGAGCCCTGTGCTCCGATCGCATCTTCAGATATCTCCAACTGGAGTCGCTGTCCACCCATGATGTCTGCTGCGACATGCTGTCAAAATGTAACTAAACCGACTGTTTTGTGGTGCGGGTGTCCAAAGTCGCCGACCAGCGCAAGGTTTCGACTTTAAGTTGCGCATAATCAATCAATATGAATTATAAAACCTTAATGCTAATTATTATGAGGATATTTTCATTTTCGCTTAGATAGGGGGCGCCTAGTCATTCTGGTATTTTGATCGTCGAGTCAAGCCCATTTCCAAATTAATAATTAATTAATCATGTTTAGAACCCAGCCACAATTTCCATAAACTGTCCGTCTGCCCGCCTCATGCGAAATGGCGCTAAATGCGTAATCTTATCTCTCATTAAGATGTTAAACGGCAGCGGATACGATACCCGACTTGGCCAATACACGTTCTGCTATCATAATGGCCACTAAGTATATTTGATTTATGGCAATGAATCGCTGAAACTGCCCAATCGTGGCCTACTTTGAGGCGTCTCGGGCAAACACCCCTTAAGCACCTTCAATGGCATAGAATGCTGATATTTAATATATTACTATTGCACAATAGTCCAGAGGCAATAAAACCACTTAACTGAACTTATACACGAGAACTGCATTCGGTTTACATTGTCACTTTATACTGTGTGGAAAGGTTTTTATTTGCAATATCTTAAAACCATTCATTAAATAATAAAATTGGACAATTATTTATGATATGTATTGGCAGATGGTATCAAATCAGTATTGCAGTTTCTATCAGTCTTAAAATGGTCTTCATGAAGTAAACATTTTCTTGACATGACAGTTCAAGTTCATATATAGCCAGTATCTGACAGTTGGGGTGATTTATTCATTGTTTCGCGAAGATCAGCGGATATTTGGTATTACTTATGTCTTATCTTATTTTGACTTTACTTATCTAGTGTGGGTCGTGTTCAGGCTTTACTTTGTATTATTCTAGCCAATTTCTCAGAAGTGTCAAAAGTTTACACTTTTAAAATTGAAAAATTCAAATTAAAAAATGCTTTCCACTTTGCATGTGCATTTATAATATTTGTGAATAAATAAAATATTCTTAACTTGTTACTTTTTAAAGCTTAAAAAATGAGTGCAACATTTTAGGTAAATCACCTATTTGAGATAAGAAAAGTGTCTATATTCTTTATTAATCGAAGATTTATATTATTGTACAATAATTGTATTAATATAAAATTCGTCAAATATCGATATTAAATTACAACTAATTACATTTGTTTAAGTTTGTTTGTTTGTTTGTTTGTTTTTTGTCCCGCCACTGAATGCATTACAGAGCGTGTGTGTGGCACTTGTGTGTGTGTGTGTGTGTTTGAGTATATGTGCTTGTGTGTGTGTGTGTGTGTGACATTTGTTTATGACAGCTGCACATCCTCAAGCTGACGCAGTTTCTCTTCTGCAATGACCTGCGCCTCGACAACCTCGCGCCGGAAGACAGCCTTATAGGTAATGGCAGTAATGGCAGCACTGCTCAGTGGTGCCAGCCAATAGATCCAATGTGCCGTAAAGTTAGTGTTCCACAGGGCAGGCGCAAAGGACCTGGCCGGATTCATGCTGGCGCCAGTGAATGGACCCTGTAAGACAAATTTGTTAATACATAGAATTAACTATAAGAAATTGAAATGGATGTGGACTTCTACTTACGGCAGCACATGCCAAACCGGCAATGGCCAGGCCAAAGCGAATGGCCACTGAGTCGTGGTGTTTGGCATTGCGGGGATCCCAGACGCCACAGCAGACAATTATCAGAATTGAGGTGGCCACAAACTCAATGCCAAAGGCCTGAGGAGTCGTCACAGTTGCATGTGGCAGCGTAACGCACAAGCCATCTAACGTTGGGTCTGGCAACAATGCCTTCAGCAGGCCATAACCAATGAAAGCGCCAAGCATTTGGCCCGCAAAATATACAAGTGCCATTGGCAACGTGACCAAATCATAGATATAGGCAGCCACTGTGACGGCGGGATTGATATGAGCTCCGGATACACAGCCAAAACACTGGATGGCGATCAGAACAGCAAAGCCAAAGTTGAGAATAATCTGTAGATGATTGTTGGGGAATATGTCCGTTTTTACGCAACCAATGCAGCCCAGAAAGACGAGAATTCCTGTGCCCATCAGCTCGGCCAGGAAGCAGCTGATTTTATCCAACATCGAACCCTTCATTTTGAACACCTTCAAACAACTGAAATATAAAATTTATTTAGCGTATAATTACTACATTCAAATGGAAGCAACTAAATTGGCATTTTTTGTTTCCTTCGTGGTTTTGTTGATAAGTAATCGGGCGGGCTGTTGGCATTATGCGTGTTAACCTTTATCATTAACATGCCACAGACACACACACACACACACACAACTACAACTACAACTACAACCATGCGTCACTTTTGCATATAAAAATCAAATCAAATTCATCAATCATGCTCGAGCATTAACACCCGGCCATCCATTCGAAAGCCTTTTAATTAAATTTGATCTTACCCACACACACTCACTCAAACACACACACGCACACACCGTTGCAGCTGCTGCTGTTAGCTGATGTGCTCTCTTAACAAGATTTTGTACATTTGTACCCGTTTGCTTACAACTTCAGACTAGTTCGGTTCAACAGCCTGTCTAGACATTTGACTCAATTTGCCGGCATGTTTTTTTGGGGTGGCTTGAAAACTTTGAGTGCTTTGCCTGTTGTGCTGTGAATTCACATCGATTTTTCAAACAATTTCAACACGTTCCACATGGCCACCTTCACTGTGGCCAAGTTAAGTAACTTAGGTTCTACATGCTGCGCAATTTGATTATCGGCTAGACTGGTTAATTAGAACTCATAAATATTGAATGATGGCCAAAAAGCACGTTTTTGATTTATTTTTAGCGCATATATATGGAACATATAAATACATAATTCCAATTTTAAGCAGCACTCAATCAAATTTATAAATAACTTTTGCGATATTTAACTGATTTTTTTAAAACGTAAATTCGTTGTTTTGGAGAACTTGAAGGTAATCTGGATTTATTTCTATACGGCATTCAACTCGGTGTTCATTTGAAGGTCAAACTGGTGGACAAACTTTGTATTTCTCTTTTGTTTTTCAAAAATAAAAAGCACAATCTATATATTTTTTTATAGCCACAAATATCTTAGGTGAACGCTTTTTTATTTTTGTTTATTTTTTTGCTTTTTTTGCTTTTGATATTTACCGATTCATGCACTCGCGACTCATCTTGGCAATATTGTGTTATGAAAGTGTTTTAAATTTCTTTTACAACTCCAATCAACTTTGTTTTATGATCGCTGAGTGCAGAAATATTTACAAAGTGACAGCTCCACTGTCAATGTCAATCTGAGCGTTGAAGTGCCCATTGACAAATATTTATATGTGTATCTATGAAATGTGCATATATGTTTTGCGAAATCCAAAAGCCCATTTTTAGCCGCGAGAGAGAGAGAAAGAGAGAGAGAGAGAGAGAGATAGAGAGACAGAAAAGCCAACAAACACATGTAAATTAGCAAATCCTCCTCAGTTGGCAAGTGAGCGCAGCGAGCATAAAAAATCAAGTCTCCAGAATTTATGAGCATCTTAATACATATGAAGGCATTGGCGTTCACACACACTCTCTCTCTCTCTCTCTGACTGTCTCTCTCTCGCTCTCTCTGGCTCTCTGTCTGCCTGTCGACAGCACGTTTTATAATCTCTCGTGCCTGGTGCTGGGTACCCTCTTCCTTAATGTGTTGTGAAAGCAACACATGCAAATAGTCAGCGCTTATCAGTTGCTATTTGCTTTTGAATTTAGCTGCGGCCAAATGAATGGATCATGCGTTAACACCATCATTCATTCTGGTATTCAAGCATAAGCTGTAAGTGTGCAGTCAACGACTGCAACCGCAAATGTCCAAAGATCAACGCTATCAACAACACAATAATGACAACAACAATAGTCATACTTGAAGTACTGCGAAGTACTGCCACAAGATGGGCTATCAATTACATTGACAATTGCAATAACAATTGCGAATTGATTTTGCGTTCCATGCGCTACGCAATGTGGGGGCAAATAAACAAATCACAGCAACACCATTGGAACCTTGAAGCTATCAAAAGTGGGCCCACCACAATCATAATTGCACGCAATTCCCGTCAAGTGTCTCAATCGCAGTGCATTTTTCAATTGAGCAAATGGAAAACATCTTCTGAATGGAAGCAGATATTTAGCAATTTTTCAAATATACGTAGGAATATATACATATATATATATATATATATATATATATATATGTGACTGTCTAAATATAAATGTGCTTTTAATTCCATTTTATGATTGCATAAGACTGACGTGATAACCTTTTTGATCTTAATCCCATAGTCATAAAATAATCATTGCTTTTGGCATACGAACGCCTGAGCGACAAGTAGCAAATATATTTTTATAAAATCAATATATACTTTGTGAATGCTCATAGGTGTCAGATCAGCTCAGACACGTTTCAGTATTATGACACATAATTACCGCAACCATTTCCTGCCGGTTTTTATGGGCCGACACATGAATGAACCTTTCTTGCAATAATCTCCTATCACGTGTAATATAATCTCACCTAACATTTTGTTAACTATTTGGATATTTAACAAGTGCTCATTGACAATATTTGCAATTGGCTTTCATTGTTGGACTACAAGAAACGTTTGGCAAGTGGCCAACGTGAATGTTTTGATACCTGATTGCGTGTGGGTTGAAGCAGGGAAAGGGGCGAGATAAGAGAGAAGAGAAAGGTTTCAGAGTAGGCAGACCGACACGTTTTGGCAAGGGAGCAAAAAAAAGCTAAAAAAAAAAATCAAGTAAATAAGCTTTAATTTTAGAAAATTTAAATGCAATTTCTATGCATAGGTTTTGAAAATTCCAGGCACGTTTTATTATTAGAGTAATGACAAAAGAAAACAAATTCAAATCAAAGCTGAGCAGGGGTTAGCCTAACTACCTAAATGGAACTTGTTGCAGTTGTATTTACTTACATCCGAACATTAAGTTAGATGCGAACACGTTATGCAAACAAATCAATTATGCATAGTGGGAATCGTGTGCCTTTTATTATTTATAAGTCTTCAATAAACTGCTAATTGATATGCCCAGAAGGATCACGCAGTGGCTGCGAGGGCTGTCATGAAATGACTGCATGCAAAAAATCGATTCGATGCGAATAGCTTTCGATTTGAACAATTTGTTTTTATATTTTTAAATAATGCAAATGTATTTTCCCTTGACGATATGTATTATAATCAAATTAAAAATGAATGTGTTAATTTCAGCTGCGGTTATTTTAAGTGTTTTTTTTTTATAGAACGGCCATTGATAAGGCACGAACTGGGCTGTGGAGCGTGCTAACTTGCTAATACAATTAATGCAAGAGCTTTTTTTATAGCTTTTATGTAGACTTGTGTAGAATTTGCCAGGGGATTGCGCCCAAAAGCTTGCCGAGCTTTATTCCAGCCAGTTATTTGTCAATCTAAAAGCTCTTAGGCATCTCGTTGATCATTTAATTTGATAGAATTTATTAGTTTTCAAAGATAAACTTGCTTTTAGAAGTGCTTAGTGCTGTTTCATAATTGATGGGAAAACATTCTTGCATATATTTCCAGTTTAATGATATTTAATTTATCATGCAAATTATTTGTTCTTAATGCAAAGTAAACTAATCTTTCAGCTTAAACATTCCATGATTTGTTTTGTTCTCTGTATATAATTATTATTACGCCTCTTCTCATACTATCAATCAACGGTTTTTTTTTTTAGCAGATCGCATTGCGATCTATTTCTGTGATTCAGTAATATTTTTATACTCTATATATATATATACAGATATTGAATGAAATGTCTGCAACATGATAAAGTTAAAAACAGAACAATAATAAATGAGTTCTGTCTGCATATTCCCAGACAGCCATTTGCACGGTTAGTGCATAATTGTCCGATAATTAGATTTGACGAATTGTTCAATTTGGATCCACTTAATTGGGAGCTATGTCGTTTGACAGCTATGCTTCAGCTACACACAAACACACCTCATTCCAGATATTGATACACGAGTTTTATTGTTGTTGTTGTTGATTTGCTACAGCTCAAAGCCATTCGGTAAAGAGGCAGACAAAAACGTGTTTTGACTTCTCTAATTGAAAACGATCTATGTATCTACATTGTTATTGAAGCGCATCTGTGTTTTTGATACGCTTGTCGCATTTGAATCGGACTGCATCTTGTTTCTAAGTCCGCATTGATAACTATAAAATTTAGCTCATTATTTTTGCCACGGGCCGACTATGTCTACCAACTACTACTTATTATGCTGATAAGGTCGATTGATCATCACGTCAAATTCCACTAAACAGTTGAGGCGTCCTTCCTTGTCCGTCCTTCCCGCAAATAAACAAAACATAGAGTATAAACTTGTACGGCAATAGAGCTGCTATGCCATGAAAGCTGCTTATCAACGAGACAATGTTATCAGTGCCAACTGTTTGCGACATTAGCGCAACTTGCTCAAAGGCAGCGAAGCTACTTCAGCAGGGCGATTTAAGATTCAATTTATGACCTGCACCGGGCAAACTCAACAACAAGCGCTATAGGCTTTATGATAGTGCCTCAAAATTTGAGGTGTATAAACAAAAATGTAACAAAATGGGTGATTGCCAAGTGGCACTGCAAGTGTTTCAATTATCGCCCGGAAAGAAATGAAACACGTGGCTCTGTTTGCTGTCACTTCGCAAAAATGCCGCCTAAAGTTAGTGAACTTTATTTCAAGATAGCCCATTTTATCGTCTTATCAGACAGTCCGTCAAATCCTCTCACAAGTCTTAAGTCTTTTCTCAATAATTTACAGTGCTTACATTGAGATATAAGCTATGCAAATGATTATCTATTTTTGTTAAAATACGAATATATATGTAAGCATTGTGCGAGTATTTACTCAACAGCAATTGCTGTCAATTATCACATCGAAGAATATTTGTTTCTGATCTCATATTGCCCTAGGTTCGACTTTATTACGGTTTACCGCCAGCTAATACCGAAATGGTTTGATTTTTAATCAGATTCTGAGCAATAAACTATCAAATCATTGGAAATAAGTGCTGCCATAAATTTAATAAAAAAAAGTGAGTGTGTGTATAGTTTATAAACTTGAGTCCAAATTGAGAGCTGCTCGCTGTCCAAATGCGTCAAATTCATAACACTAATCGCCATAAAGCACTTGAATGGTCTTCATTGTTGAATGCTCCCTTGGTCTGCGCAATTCACATAAATTACAATTATAATCAATCACGTGAGTACACAATTAACTAACTTGATAACGACCAAAGGTTTTTCAATGTTCGATTGGCACCTGACCAGTGGATGCCACTAAATCTACACGTTTTCCAAATGAAACCATTCACGCAACAATCAGTTTAGCATTCATATGATAATATGCATTAAATTGGGACAATGCGTGTGACTTGGTCAGTCAACTTGATCAATTTGCGTTTAACACGAGATTTGATAAGCTCTTTTAGGGAATGATTGATTTCCCAAAAATGTTTAGCACAAATTAACAAGTTGGCACGAGCACTCAGGATACGTTTCAATTATCTAACCAAATATCATATTTATCCAAATCATGTCATGTGTCGCTTTCCGAACGTGTTAATAAATATTATCTTATATAATTTCATATTTTTACCGCAACTTGTTGAACTATTATTAATCGCTGTAGCGGGGAATTCAAAAGTCGCAATTGCTGCTCGGTAAATATAATTTTGGTAGTTAATAGAAAAAATACAAGCAAATTGTTAAATTCACCCAGCACGTGGTAGAATCAAGGCTGACTAACGCCGCCGACGCTTTTAATCCCCATTGGGGAGTATCAAGCTAGAACAAATGTATTCCCCAACTAAGGTAATATGGACAACATTAACTTAATTGTCCAAACGAATATATGAATCTTTTGCATATTTTGAAACTTGTTTTCTACACGTTCTATCTTAGTTTGATGCTGTAGGGCATAAGAGCAAGCTATTACAAAATATTGTAGATGTATATATTATAAGATATCTTTTCTATTACTTAAGCACTAAATTATAGGTATCCGATAATAATTATATTGCATTGAAATATTTTGTGTTCAATTGAAATTTCCATTAAAACGATTCAACTAAAATTTGCATTCATTAAAATTGTTTTGTAAACTAAAATTGTATCCGCTTCTTTGTACTTATAAATGCATTTAAACTTTTATTCAATTTAAAACATTCTTTGCATTAATGCCATATTTACTTCTTTTTTTCCTCAATTAAACAGTCTGCTTATGCTGAATTACAGGGTATCTCTTTGTCAATATGTTCGAATAATTCTCTTACTCCAATTTTTTTCGACTGCCAAATAATGTTTTTAAAATAGGGGCACATAAACATTTTATCAGCTTGTGTCGACGTCAAGGTTAAGGTATATATACTTGTTTGGTTGTTTGGTCTTATTGGACACACAGATAAAAAAAAAAAACGATATATCCGTAGGCATGCTAAATGCGTACATAAATCTTACTAAATATGGTACAGCAATTATGCCTGCCATACGATAATAGTCTCCAAAATATTATTATTGAAGTCTGAGGTCTGAAGTGGCTGGCGAATCGTATTTTCCATCTGGTAAATGGCATGAGGAGTACTCCATGGTTATCAAGCGGAGCGCTCTTTGAGCATGTTGGTTTTTTGACCTTATGCGAAAGTAATCTGCAGTCTTTATATTGTTTAATGATAATTTTGATAAGGCGCGTTCGAGCGCGAAGTCATTCACTTAATTAGTATAAAATATATATACACATTATATATATAAGTCTGCCGAGTGTAGAATGTAAAATAATGTGGAGCAACATATATATATATATATATGTGAAGTATATATGTGTATTGGACAGACACATAAATATCAGCTGCAAATATATGTATGAATGTTAAAATTTCCAAAGAGCGAGGCTGACATATTTTAAAAATAAAACCCGTATATATGTAATTTGTGATAATTTTCTCTTTTTTAACATACATTTACAGACATTTCTCATTTCCATTTTGAAATTTATCAAATGGAACAGACAATTTTGTATTATGCGCATTTCAAAGCAGTTCAGTTGAAAGTCAAATGCAAAAACATTGTTTGACATTGCAATATTCCAATACTGTTTGTTATGTTTTAAATAGGAGTTTTAATTTATTCTGCTATCTTCCACAAGCAGGGAAAGCCGCGGTGTGGCATGTTTATTAAATGCAAAATAATGCACATAATTAAAAGCTAATAATACGGTAGTAGATAAGTAATAATTTATAAAGAAAATAAATTAAAAAATGCAACAGTAACGAGCAACTAACAAGAACAACAAATAATTGCAAAGTAACTTTGTTTATTGATGGGGTAGGTGTGTTCATTGTTTTTGATATTCAAGCAAGCGCGCACAACAACAATTGGAATTCCATATAATCATTTAATAAGTACATAAGAAGATAGCGTTCGCTCCGACAAAGGCCGAGCCCCAAAAAAATAATTTAAAATATAATATCTATTTGATAAGCTTGCATTTGGCAATATGTGGAGCTGGCTTCGATTAGAATTTCGGAGTATTAGTATTCACCACGCAGAATATATAAATATGCCTTAAATTGATAATTAGGCCACACGCGCGCACACAGGATTTATTATTGTAGGATTGAGGAAGAATTACCAATAAATGGGAGACACAGGATCTGCAACTGAAACTTATTTGTTGCACAATCGAAAGTTGTTCAACGAAAACTGAAACAGTCTTTGCACTTGAAGCCGTTTTATATTGTGGTAAATCAAAAGTTGTTTTCGCAGCAGCAGCAGCAGAAAGCACGTGAAGTCATTTGACATTTCTTTACTGTTTGTTTTCATAATGAATATAATTTATAACAAGTTTCGTTAATTAAACTAGTGGACATATTTGGCCAACAAGCAGCACACAAACAACTCACGCACTTTTGCAGAGGCAGCAAACTTGAACTAACCTGCGCTTTTGTCGATCGCTTGATTGCTATTGAAATTCTCAGCGAAAGGCGCTGGCGATCAACATCGGCCGCATAGAGAACAAGCTTCGGGCAACCATGGCGTATCATTGTTGCTGCTCGAAAGGCAGCAGCGCAGTCAGCGCCAAAAGTTTACTGCTTATCGTTGCGAGAGCGCAAGCGCAAGAGAGTCAGGTGGCAGCGCGCAAAATGAGAGCGCACGCCGACGCTTTTTCTGTTTTTTCTTCTTCTTTTTTTGTGTTTTTTTTTTTGTGTACGCCAGTGCTGCGAGCTTTTGCAGCTAGTCGTTTTTGAAGGTTAACCAAGCTGAACTTTAGCGAAAGACATGCCGTTGGTAAAGCTCTTGAAAATTTCTTCTTTTAGCAATTTCGTCTCACTAAATATTAGCATTATTTTGAAATAAATAATGAGAAATTAAAATATAATTAATAATTAATATACTACTACTACTACTACTACTACTGCAAAATAAAGTGTTCATTAAATTCCATTAGTAGATCATTGCTTTGTTGGCAATTTGATATTGCTATAATTTTGCTAATATTACTATATTGAACAAAACCCCAAAATCAAAATAGCATTTAACGTGAGCATAGACTAATTATTAATTGTTTATCTAGAGCTCCAAACTGAAATTAACCTGGCCAGTGCTGACGGCTTAGCTTTTTTCAAGCTAAAAATGACTTTTAATTTAGAAAAATAAATAAAAGTACTAGATTTATATTTAAGATAGAAAATAGTACTAATCTTAAGTGTCAAACTAGTAAAATAACTTACTAAATTGTAAAGATTGAGAAACGGCTATCACAGTGGACAACAACATTTTGGGGCAATGGCAACTTCGAAGAACTTGCGACCTTTGCGGCCAGTCTATGATTTTCGCCTTGGTCAAGCGCCGAGGTCAATAGAGTATTTAGCCAGGTCAGCGATTGAATATATAAACAAAAAAAAAACGGCAAATAGAATTGATGTTAAATAACTAAGCTTCATGTTGTTGTCATTCGGATTGAGATACCATTAGCCAGATACAAATTACGCAGGCATGGGAATATGGTATTAATTCAAAGTAGCTACCAAAACATCAACAACTAATTAGTCAACGTGTGTGGCGAAATGAAAGATTCGAAAGAGATGAATAATTCGAAACAGATGGATAAATATGATCCATAGATCAATCAGATAAAACTCGTCAGTTTTTCCGCATTATTCAAATACAACCAAAAGCTTACATCTCACTTCAGAGCGGCGTGAACGGGTTTTGCATCAATTTTTAATTTTTAATTTGTATTTCGAATAATATTTAAATTGATTTTACTAAGCTGCTTTCAACGTTTCCTCGTCGCATCTTATTAAAGATTTAGCTAGTAAAACCTGAATTTTAAGTGCTTTACAGTTATTCACCCCATTAACTAATCATATTAAAATCACCAAAAATTAGGTGCGAAATAAATTGATTCATAAATTAATAGTTGAATCATTTGCTTTACACACACACACATTCATTCATTCATAACACAGAAATATTTGAATTTGCCGCTTGAAATGTGTTAGTGGTTCCAATGTTCAATTGCCCTCATTTGATAAGCATTTAAATGTTTATCGGTTAGAGATAGAAGGAGTGAGGGAGCAAAAGGGAGGGTGTTTATTTGAATAATCCATTCACTTACCTTTAATTCATCAGCCAAATGAATGACCTACCTGCAAGAGTAGCGTAATATTTCCATTGGATGTGTTTGGCGAGGATTGTAGTGAATCACAATATTAACAAAAATCACTTATCACACTTTTAACTGACGTCACACATATATTGAAATGGACACCTTCAGCATAATCACTGTGATTTTTCCATAGCCATGACTTTTATAACATCACGAGACGCGTTAAAATTGTAATAGTATACCAAAATAGCGGCATTGCTTTAAAATTTTTGATTAAACTAAATATATATATGGTCAGATATATTTAACTTGTGGCCATTAAATGAAATACAGTTTAAATATGTTAATGTTATAAATAAAACAAAGCCGCCAAATCAATGAAGCGGCGCCAAAGTATGATAAATCAGAAATAGCGGCCAATGATGAATAAAAAAGAATGATCAAAATAATAATTCTTCGTTGCCGCCTTGCTTGGTCATTAATGGGTTAAGCGACGAAAATGGCAGATCGTCAACCATTCAGCTAACAGTTTGTGAGTATTTCTGGTTGTGCCCATTCATTGTGATTTATTATGGTGTCTGGTCGCACACACTTGACATGACTTGCCAAGCTCGTGTATCGGCCAAAACTGGTTTGAGGAAAATGCAAAAAATGTAAATCACCCAACTTTTGTTTTTGCATACATGTGTATTATGTATGTGTGTATGTAAGGATGTAAGTATGTATGTATATTTGGACTATTTCTGTGTGCAATTTTCACAGAGCCAAAAATAATAAAACTGCCAACAATGTTGCACGTGACGTATACACAACGTGGCGTTGGACTGTTCAATCAAGGCACACACAAAATGTGTGTCAAGTAGAACGTTTTTGTTGTTGAAATTACTTAATTAATTGTGCTGTCTTTAACTACAAATATCCGCACCTTATACGCATTTTCTTGCCCCTCATCCAAATGTCACTCATGTGTAATTTACAGGTCGACTGCTGCTGCTGCTGTTGTTGCTGCTGCTGCTGTTGTTGCTGCTGCTGCTGTTGTTGCTGCTGCTGTTGCTCCCCCCGTTGCACTGATTGTTGTTGGGTTGACATGATTTCAAAGTTTTGTTATACGCACTTTAGCTGTTGCACACACACAATCACACACACACACGCATCAACAGAATACGACGCGACGACGACACTTAAAATGCAAATTGGTCTTTTATGCAAAAGATTTGCAGACGCGACGATTGTTGTTGTTGTTGTTCGTCTTTGGTCTCAATGTTGTTCGCAAAATATATTTAGACTTGTATCTGTTTTGGTATCGACTATATTTATCTAAATCTGCAAGCACGGCCTAATGTTGCGGCGCATGTGAATTTTTGCTTATGGTTTGTGCAGCCACTGCGAGCTGACTGACAGTGAAGCAGACGGCACATCGACTACGAAGCTTAAATTCACCGCAGATGGCAACGTCAATAAAAAATACCTATATTGTATTTATATATATATACATCTATCTATATATATACAAACCACTACGAACACAGCAACCAAATAGCAACAAGTGTCGTGTAAAACGGCTTTTGGCGATGTGTGAACTGTTAGATGTATTTTCTTCTTTACTGTTTGTTGTTGTATTATTGGTTTTGGCGTTTTTGCGTTTGCCTTTCTGGTTGACTTTCGCTCTCTACACTCTCCGTTTTTGTTTTGATTATTGACTTTGCTCTTCAAAATTGGGCAAATGAGGGTCAAGGTTACAGCGACTTTTTGTTTTGGCTACTTCTTTGTCTTTTTACTTGTATTCCTGCTTACAGAAATAATTGATTTAATCAATTAATTTCTTATTTTCTCTCAGTGTTTGAGGGGTCGCTTTACTTGATTTTTATCTACAATATATATATATTTAGTTATCCGCCATAGATCGTAACTTATTTTGATAATAATATCAACGCCTTCTTTGTTGTTGTTTTGGTTTACGGCACCGGTACAAGTGGCTGCTCGTCATAAACACGCAATAAATAGCTGTATAGATATTGACATGAATTTATAAATATGTACAGCTATACATTGGTATAGCGATAAGAAAATAAACCTGCAAATGCAATGCAAATTAAATATAAAGGTTTTCGGCTTTTTGTTTAGCATATGAATTTGGGTACGTTTCTATTTACACGATTAAGTGTGCTAACCATATTATATACCCGCTAACTAATACAACAATACAGTTCCTATCAATTAAATACAATAATATGATCTTAATTAATTTAGCAATTCATCCATTTAAACCGACGCTAATTAAATATATCTTTATCCCAGAAAAAATTGTATAGCATACTTTGCGGCAGTTACAAGAAAGGTTTGCGTCTAGGGAATGTGGAAAGTCGAAATTTATTGTGTTTTGTGTTTGGAATATTCAAATTGTAATTGAAGATTCGTTTTCCATTTTTTATTAGTCTCAATTCAGTCTTTCTCATATTTCAAGTGCAAAATCACTGGAATAATGTGTTCACTTTTGCAAGATAATCAACGTCAGAGAAGCTAACTAATTTAGCGAAGTTTCAACACCGCTCATGCTATGGCAGTCAGCTCTTGACATGAAAGCTCCAAAGACAAAAAGCTGAAGCAGTGTGTCTGTCGAAAGCAGCTTGCTATGAAACCCTATTTGCAAACTTGAGACAAACGACCAAAATCAAATGAACTGCGCTGAGAGAGATGGCCGAGAGAAACCCAGCTAGCGAACATAAGCGCCATAAGATCAAAAAAGAAACATTAGCAGTCCCGCATCAGGGCATCAAGAACGCGATTAGCTGGAATTAACATGTGCTGCATGTATCGCTAAAGTCAGTGCCAATATTGACACGACCGACTGTCATTGGCACTAGGAGTATATCCGGTCTTAACAACTGACCGCCGTTGTGTCTGCTTAATGTATGTAATCGATTTCACACTACTTTTTAATCACTACAAAACATTTATTGTTTGCGCACAGCGAGAAAAGTTAAACAAAACCCAAAAATAAAAAAAAAATACGTCGAAGACAACCAAGGGAAAGAGGTACGTCAATTGTACAAATTGACTTGGCCATATTATTGGGCATTTTGGCCGCACTCACTGACTGCAATGGAACTGCGGCCCCAAAGTATCTCACGCAGTTAACACACACAAAAGGTTTTTATTGTGCGTATTCGTTGACAGCTTCAATCGTCGCTCTTGGGTCCAAGACCCAGAGAGTAACATCGATTTGGGTTTCCAGCTCAGACTCAGACTCAGACTCAGTCATCTCCGTCGTCGTCGTCGTCGTTTGTTATATTTGTTATTTATTTTGCGGTTATAATACTTATACTCGCCTTTTTATTGTATTTACAGAAAATATTGTCGGCTATTCAGTGCCGCAAAATAAAAAAAAACACAGCTCAACAAAACAAAAAGTATTTTTTTACAGTTTAACTTTGGGTTTTTGTACTCGCAGATGATAAATTAGCTTTGTACGTAAATTCAAAAAGAAAATTTGTATGTGAAAATACATCAGCTACAGCTACAAGTACGAATGAGAGAGTGTGCGAGGGCCCTCCCGAGGTAGAGGTATGTGTATGTACACACATATGTGTAAATATCTGCATGACAATAAGCCGATACCCGAGCTGGAATCACTTCATCTCCATGCTCCGTGCTCCATGCTCCGTGCCTCGTTCATAATGAATGCCACATTATTATTTTGTACTTTGTCAACTAAACAGCAACCCCGAATGGCGTTGATGCGATGTGATAATTCAATGTCGCGCATCCAGCGCACGGACACCTCAGATACAGATACAATAATATCTTTCTTATATATATATATGTATATGTATATATATGGATGGGAGTTGATGGCTGTTGATCTTTGTAGTGATGACCGCGGTTTATATTTTTTAACATGCCAAAAGAATTGTAATTACGACACTGTCATCTCAATAGCTGTATCTGTCTCAGACTGTGTGCCGTATCTGGGTATCTTTGTATCTTTGTATCTGTGTGTATATGTATATCTGTGATGTATCTCAACAATGGCATCAGCATAACAAAGAACAAATTGCTGTAAGCTCTGCTCAGACTACGCTCAGCCTCCGCTCTTTAACTCCATCGTTTGTTGTCTCCACCTCGATCTCCATATATATATATATATACATATACATACATGTATTTGTCCGTCCGTCTGTCTGTCTGGCCGTCTCGGTTAGGCACGCCATTTTAATAAGCGTAGAAAAAAGCGCACAAAGCGCCTAAATAGTGTCAATGATTAATTGCTTTTGTGATTATGTGGAAATTTAATAGATTTTTTATTACGCTCGCTTGCAGTCGAAAAATTGATATTCTATAAAGGTACACAGAGAATTGTAGCTGGAGGCTTGTGGCACGTATCCATCCATTGACTGTTGCAGCATCATTATTACCCTCAGTTATTTGTCAGTGTTTTGTGTTTGTTTTACTGCTGCCGTTCGCCGGATGACAGTAAAAAGGGCCGCATCATTGTAACAATTTCACATTTCACATACAAATTGAAATTCACACGCGTCACGCTGCCAACTGCATTTCATTTCGCTTGATTTGCATTTCATTCCTTGTCTTTTTATTTATTTTTTTATTTTTTTGAGATATATTTTTGGTCTGGTTTGACAAACTTGTTAGCACATTTTTGCTGTCGCATGCCGTCGCAGCTGATGGACTTGTATTAAATGTAATGCCACCACAAATCCTCTAAGCTGACCACACACACATGCACTGAAGAGAAATAGACACCCAGCCAAGTCAGCCAGCCCCAAATGTTGGCAGGTGCTTTTTCCGCACACCACACCAATCTGTACGAAATCCACACAAAGTCCCAAAGAAAATACGCATTGAAAGGGGAAATTCAAGTGGAAATTACTCAATTACAAACGCTGGGCGCAAGAAAATGAAAACCAAACGGACATGATACCAAAATATAAACCCCATTGACCAGTGGCTTAACAGTGGGCCGCCTTTGGAATTACATCAACTACTTGCACTTGTTCGCCTCCTTGGCGGGTGTCGGCATGTGTGTGTGTGTGTCCTTGCTAGAGTGGAGATCGTGTCACGAGGCAGAGAAAGGATACAAGTACGAGTGTGTCAGAAGCAATGCAAGAAGAACTCAACTCAAGTTGCTTTTTATTTAAAAATATATTTAAGTGTTAAATAGAATATTAGATGAAGTATTATCAATAATTAATATAAATATATATTTAAATACTAATTAAATATGAAAGTTAATTCGATTAGATTGGTTTCACAAGCTGTTTATGAAATAATATTGATACTGAAAAATGCCTTGAAAGTGTTTTTTTATACTAAGTCTATATTTCTTGTAAGATGTCGATTCTGTCAGCAACAAAACTGATTTTAATTGTGTTATATTTAAATGTATCGTTTCATATAATAATAATATAATACAAATCTTAAAAGAACAAATAAATAAGTATTAAATCACTTAAGATATTCGTAAATTTAATATTTGAAAACAAAGCGGATTCTAAAAAGTAGTAAAACAAATTAGATTTCTTTTCCAAAATTACGAAATATTTGTGCAACTTATCGTGTGCCGTTCGTGACACGCGACTATCGCTAATTGTTATTGATGGTTCTGTCAAGTTGGAAGTCCGTATGATAGTTAAGGAGGGAAACCCTACAAAGCAATGCAATATGTGCGATAATTACACCCCATAAAGCGCGGGGGAGGGTGGAGGGATAAGCGTGAGGCAGGCATACGAACATTATAACAGGACAATTATGTAACCTGATAAGCGCAAGAAAAGTCGCAGACAAAGTAGTGAAATTAATAACTTACATACCTGCCAACCAACTCCCCCTCCCCTCCCATCCCCTCGCCTACTGTCCGTGTGCTTTGCTGGCCAAACATATTTATTACAAATAAAGAGACAAACATAAAAGACAAACAAATAAACAGACTAAACAGCCGGGCAAATAGCAAGTGACATGAAGACCGGTACAACAAAGCGTTTGGAGCATTTAATAGGCTTAACTAGGGCTGGCAGTGGATACGCTGCTTGAAGGGGCGGGGGGTGGAAAGGGCCGCAAGAAGTGTTGACATGTTGGGCATTGTTGTTGTTGTTGTTGTTGTTGTCGTTGCTGTTGTTGCGACAATTTACACTTCAATTCAAGTACAAACCCAATTGGTTTTTGGATTTATTTCCTCTTATTTTCGATATATTATTATTATTTTGGGTGTGGCTGCAAATCTAATTTTGTAACTGTTTGCAACTTAATGAATTTGATTAGTTTTGTGGCACGTTCCGGTCGAGTCACATTGCGCTACACACTCCATTCCTATATATATTGTATGTATGTATGTATGTATGTATGTAAATATGTAGCTGAGAAGCTGTCGCAGAGTATCTT